AATTTGTGAGAATGCAGCAAAATCAAATACAAGCAGCTCAGAGCAACTGCCAGCACAGTGGGGGAGGGATGATGATCTGGGCTGTTTTCTGTCCATCTAAACCAGGGGTGTCCAACTCTGGTCATCGAGGGCCGGTATCCCACAGATTTTAGAGGTTTCCCTGCTTCACACCTGATTCCGATTAAGTGGATCAGTTCAAAGGCTCTGCACAGGAAACACTGCAGACGAGTCTGATAAAGTCCACTATTAACATCCTCTGTATGCCAAAGTGATCAGAATGAGATCGACCCACAGCTAAAGCCGGGCCGAAATTGGCTCATCGACAGAACAAAGATCCAAACACAGCAGCAGATGTACGATTATTCATTCAGAAAACATCTTTAAGTTAATGATGGTAAAGATGGATTTACACACTATTTCTTCACATGAACAAGGTTGGACGAGGCCTTTCCTCTTGTTTAAAGAACCTCTTTAAATGCTCTATTCAAGCATAATTTGGTTTTGTCCTTTTATTTCCGGTTCGTTTGACCCACAGGAGAGTGAAGGGTTGCTCTCTGGACGTGCACCCGACTGAGAAGGCGCTCGTCGTTCAGTATGAGGTCGAGGCAACTCTTCTGGGAGAACTGGGGGAGCCCATGGTCGGAGACCGCAAAGAGTGCCAGAAAATGTCAGAGGGCATCTTTTTTTTCTGTTAACAGAGACCCACCATCCTCGGCGCTACTCTGTAAAAGTAATATCTTCTCTGATGCTCCCTTCAGCATTCGCCTGAAGAGCCTGAACGCCACCACAGACACCTCCTCTCTGGCCCGAAAGGTGGTGGAGGAGTGCCGGCTCATCACCCCCTCCAAGCTCCGCGAGGTGGAGCAGCTGCTCTTCTACCTGCAGATCCGCAAGCAGGCCAACGGTACCGCAGCCTCCCGCACGCCGCCTCTGGAAAGCGTCCTCATGAGAGTCAGTTTGTGAGACTTGTGTTGTTGTTATCAGACGACCAGGAGAGGAAACGGATCTCGCCGCGGGACTTTGCGCCCTACGCAGGAGTAGAGGTAGGGGATGGCTCCGCGTGCAGCCCCATGCTGAGATTCCTATCTGAAGTGGGAGTTTTCCCCCAGCTGGGCGAGGAGGCGAGCATCGGCAGCATCGACGAGTACGTGGAGCTGCTGTACGAGGACGTCCAGGAGAAGATCCGAGGGGCCACGCTCATCTTCCAGCTGGCCCGCAACCCAGACAACCTGGAGGAACTGATCGAAAATGGTGACTTCCCGCAGATTTTGTTCAGGGCTCTTTAATCTTAGCTTTATGGGAATTATCATGCATTCGGGACAGCTGGGGAACAGAAATTGCTTTAATTACAGTTTGTGCTCAACACTCAACCCTGTGAAGGATGACCTTGGCTGGTGTTGACCAGTGTTGTCTGTGGATCCAGCTCACAGCCATCTGTAAAACCCAACAAGGTTCAGATTTCGGTCAATGACAGCCAACAAAAGACAATTGTTTATGTTGTCTCCTGCATGTTTCAGAGGCAGCCCTTGGTGCTCTGGCCAGAGTTCTGAGAGAAGACTGGAAGCAGAGCGTGGACCTGGCAACAACTATCATCTACATCTTCTTCTGCTTCTCCAGGTGCAGCCAGCCTCTCTGAGCTGAAGCTGCTCATCCTAAAGTTTCATTCAGCTGTTTACTTATACAGATTTTGGATTTTTTTAGCCGTATAAATCAAGTGTTGTGGTGAAATAACCCAATTTGCAGAGCTTCTATTTATGGTTTCCTCACCATGTTGGTGCAGACTGAGTTGGCCTGTGTGTCAGTGAGGACTATTTATCATTTAAAGTAGGTGAAACCAAGTCCAAATGCCCTAAAAAAACAACGGAACAACCATCTGTCTGTCTTTCTGAACCTCAGATGGATATAAAGCAACTTTTTTAAATCATGAGAACACCTTTCTATGTTTATCCAAAAAGCCCTGACCCTCTTTTCTTTGTCACATTTGAACAGATCTGGTTCTCCTTTTGGCTTTTCTCACATTTAGACAAACATCGGTTTGTGTACTCTAGTTAAGTGCTGGAGCTCACAAATATAGACACGATCAGGTACACATGGTGGCATTAGGGGCTGAGCCCCCCCTGTTTTTAAACCCAGAGTCAGCTGGGATTTAGATCCTTTAAGCTATTTTAACCTAAAATATTCAGGACGACAGTTTCTTTGTTTGGAACTGGTTTGAGTTACTGTTTTCTGCTGGGAACCTTTACAGGCGCTCACAACGTATGTGGTACTGGAATGAACTATTGTATGATTTAGAAGTTAAGATTCCAAACCCTAAAAAACATCTGGAATCTGCACGTATTCAGTCTCAGTACTCCAACAATTACTTCCCTTTTGGAGTATTTCAGGTCCTTTTCTGGGCTTTTCCCCACAGCAGTCGCCTCTCTGGCTGCGTACGTCAGATTGGAGTTTCTCTCCTCTATCGGACCTTCAGACACGGCAGAATTAAGCCTCAGTAGAATAACACATGAACGTCTGTCAGAGCTGATTTAGGCATTGAGACAGGACGTCTGAGAGCCGTCACTCCTGGCCCGTCTCCATTTTTATGTTATGCTGTTCGATTGTGAAATGGCTGAACTCGGCCTGATTCTGAGCCAGTATTCTTTGTGAACTACTTCAGGGGTGACAGATGGGGTCGCTTTAATGACAGCTCCCAGCTGGGATCCCAATAACAGTTTCTGTTCTGAAAGCCCACTTTTGGATAAGTGGAGCTGTTTTTTTTTCTCCCCCAGTTTCTCCCAGTTCCATTGCCTGGTCTCTCACTTCAAGATCGGAGCCCTCTGCATGAACATCATCGAGCACGAGGTGAAGAGGTACGACCTCTGGCAGGAGGAGCTGCAGAAGAAGAAGAAGGCCTATATCCTTTACTAACCAGACTGCTTCAGTGGAGTGATGCTTTTGTGGTAATCTGAGTTCCTTGACTGCTCGCACATGAAAAGTTCTCTGAGAACCAAAACCTGAAGAAGGAACATGAGAAGTCTTTCAGAAAGTACCAGAGCCTGCTGAGCAAGCAGGAGCTGCTTCTCAGAGGTACTTTTTGTTCCCCAGCAGCTGGTGTAGCGTCCACTGAGAATGACCTGATCAACATGTCCAGAATCAGCGTATTAAGAATCAGTGTCAGCGTATGGCAGTCCCAGTCCAGTCGTTATGTCTTTAAAGCTCCAGAAATACATGAAGAACATGCAGATAAACCCAGAGCACGCAGCAGAAACACAGTATGATTGTGCAGCTTAAAGTGAATATCTGCTCTGAGCTCCTTCATTCTCCAGCTCAGCCTGAACCCTCTTTAACCCGTTCTGTGTCCTTTCTTCTTCCTTTAAGAAGATGGCTTTAAAATCAGCTCTGACTCTTATATCAACTCTAGCAAATGCTTTAGAGAAGCTGAACTTTTGCAGGTGCCTGGTTGAAGTGTCTCATTAAACGTGTTTGGCCTGACTCTGCAGTGTCTCTGTGTCTGCTGCTCAATCTGGCTGAGGACACCCGCACTGAGCTGAAGATGAGGAACAAAAACATCGTCCACACGCTGGTGAGGCTGGTCGACCGGGAGGACCAGGAGCTGCTTCTGGTGGTCGTCTCCTTCCTGAAGAAGCTCTCCATCTTCCTGGAGAACAAGAACGACATGGTGAGAGTTTCTGTGCTTTCAGCAGATACAAAGACCCTTTTTTATTCTAATGAAGTAATAAAAAAAAACTTTTGGTTCTTATCAAGTGGAAGAGGTAGTTATCCTAACTATGCTTTACTCTACTAACGATAAGCTCCAAATGGTGCTTTTCTTTTTTTGACCTCCGGCTGTGAAAGACTGTGAAAATGACAGCAGAATGAACAGTTTCCTGTAAACACTGAAACTCCTGGTGTCAGCAGGTGTTTTCTGAGTAGGGTTTTTATATCATGGCTTCCACCATAAAAAGACGTCTGTAGCTGCTGTTTTCTGTAGCAGAAATGTGTTCTTTCTAACCCGATTAGGGATGGAGGATAAATTCCAAAAGGCTTCTGGGTAAATTGCTGATGCCCTGCGGTGTGCCGCGTGGCGCTCACCTTCTCCCCAATCCAGACCCACCTGGTTCCAATCCCACCCCGTTTGTGGGTATTTATCAAAGCCAGGCCCTGCTCGGAGCTGGTTTTATCTCGCAGGAGGAATCCTGGGCTCAGATTTAAGATGTGTCCAGCAGGAAGATCCTGGCCTCAGCACTCTGACTCACAGTTGCTTCTCTTCCCAGAAAACAGCTTTGATTTGGGAACAGAGTGGCCACAGCGTGTTCTGGTGCTGTTTGTTTGCTCAGCAGCATGTTGGGACTTTCTCTGCATCAGATCATCAGACTGATGTGGTTCTTTAGCCAGCTGCTGTCACTAATGGCGGGGGAACGGGGGGTAATTGACACAGGCTGCAGTTGATTAAGCGGCTCGAGGTCTGTTGGTGATGGTGTGACTGGAGCTGGTTTTGCGCACAGTAGCAGCGAGGGCGTTTTAACTGGGAGCAGGTTGTGTTTAGCAGCTTCAGGGAGACCACAGGAGACGGGAGGCAAAGGACTGTCGTGGTGGGGGGAGCGTAGACACTCATCAGCTCCAAGAGTGACTCAGCAGCGTCTACATGCCTGCAGGCAGAGCATTATTCAGTTTTTATATTCAGTCAGAGCAAAGAAGAGATATGGGCGAGATGAGTAAAAAGTTGGCCAAAAAATGCACATTTCACCTTGAAATATGAAATCAAATTGTTAAAAAGGCTTTTTCTGTACAGTGTGACTCATTAAAGGAGAATGGTTCCATCCTTTGGTGTCTTTTCACCTCTGGTGATTCAGACTGAAGCCCTCTGCATCAGTCTGTGGTGCAGACAGCAAACTGACCCATTAGGATAGAGCTGCTGCTTCTTCACATGAGGGGGACGATGTTCAGGTGGTTTGAGATATCCAGGACATGATGGATTGATGGCAGTACAAAAAAGTACACACCCATCATTTCTTTAAGTTTTGTTTCAAGACCCAACATCCCGCCTCACTTTTTGGTGGAACAGCTTTCACTGAGATCAGAGGAAATTAACCTTTTGTTTCAGGTATGCAGTGTTAATAGAAAATGTGAATGTGCTCTGATGTATGTTGTTTAAAGTCGCCCCAACCATCTGTGAAAAAAGATGAAGAGGATCTGAAAGTGATGTCCTTAAGAAAGAGGAAAGAATCCAGCAAAGAGCTGACAGGAGCTGAGAGATGCATCTGGACCTTCAGCTGATCATCTCCTGTTGGTACAAGCCTCATCAGAAATGCTCTCCATGAAGGGAGGCTGTCGAGAAGCCATTCTTAAGGAAGGGAAACAGGGAGAAAAGGCTGAGCTCTGCCCAGTGACACAAGAAGTGGACTGAAAATCAGCAAATGTCAGCAGACGCAAAGGGTCCAAACTCTCCCTCCTGCTGCAGGTTTTGTGTAAAACTGACATGTTTCTGCTCTCTGACCCATTCAGGCTGAAGCATTTGCAGTGGAGAAGCTGGCTCGGCTGGTTCCCTGTGGGCACGAGGAGCTCCTCAGCACCACCTTGCGCCTCCTGCTCAACTTGTCCTTCGACACGACCCTGCGCAGCCAGATGGTTCAGGCCGGACTCGTCCCCAGACTCTCCTCTCTGCTCGGTAATCTATCCTGATGTTTGCCTGGTGCATTTTTCTGTGGCAGAAGTGTCCTCAAAGCTTTGGAGTGTGAGTGGCTTGTTGTCCCATCCAAAGGGCGGGTTGACAGGGCCAGCAGCATCCCTGGAGGGGGCTCTGAAGCCTCAGGAGGCGGCTCTGGTAACGGAGCATAATTAATATAATATATTTGTTAGAATAACATGCCAGAGCCTCTGCACAAATGTTGTTTTTGTAGGAGAGGCGGATGGGTCTGCAGAGGTTTGGGCTGGGCTGTTTTTTGGGAAGTGGCGGGGGGGAGGGCTGCTCACTCAGGAAGCGGAGCACACACTCATAGTACAAGTTAACAGTGAAATATCACGCGGGCTCACAGTTGTGACACTGCTGGGTTTGTCCGTGTTTGCGTGTGATCGGAGGACTCATTAATCATTCGCTTTTCATCTGACACGCTGCATGAGGTGCTGCACTTATCTCCAAAGAAAGAAGACTCCGTTCTCTCCGTCCAGCCCCGACCTGAGGTCACGACACCTGATGATAAGATGAAAGCGGCGACCTGTCATCATCGCTTCCTGTCTGAGCCACCCGCTGCCACCGAGCACAGAAGAAGGACCCGTTCTCTTTATAGAGCTTTCTAAAGCTCGTAAAAGGGGTTAAAACGGTTTTACTTTCGGGTTTTTCTTTGAATATGTCTCTCAGTTTGGCTTATAGTACAAATTTACAAATTTGATCCCTCCAGTCATTAAGAGAAAAGCATGCCCATTTTCTTATACTGCTTTTACAAATTAGCCACTGTTGGATAGCTAATTGTGATAATAATTATTATCATTAGTGTTCTAATATCACTTAATCAAACTGTTTCTTATTGTAAAAATGATCACAATCCAAACTCAGAGATGGGTGACATACTAAAGGCAGCCAGGCCTAAAGATTAGTCGGAAATGCCAGACCACCAGAACCACATTTGAAGAGGCAAGTTTCACATATTTGTGAAAAAAAATCAGTTCTGATGATAATTGCTCATAGAAAATAAGAAAAATTGTCATATTTTTCTCAACTGATCCACAGATGTGTTAACAAAAAACATTTATGCTTTCTCCAAAAGGGCTCTAAAACCAAAGAGGTTTAACAAAAGTATGACTTGTTTTAGTTTCCAGGTTCGGTGAGATAAAGCCAGCTTAATTACAGTGTTATGGAGTCAGGTGTCAACACAGATGACCTCTTTTTTATCTAGAATGTATATATATTTAAAAGGATAGAAATAAACCTGTTGGCTTTGGGCTCTGGCAACTCACTTAGATAAATAGGAAGATGTTTTGGTCGGAAAAGCAGCCAATCGAGGGCCAAGAGCCTGAAATGAATCTGTTTTGCGGCTTTGTAGCTGCAGGAGGTTAAAAAGTTGGTTTAATTTAGCAGATTTTCAATTTTTCTTTTAATTCTAACATCAGAAACAGAGCAGAACCTGATCTCCAACACTAAAGGCTCCACTTAAAGCAAAGCCTGTTTTACTGTCCTAAGACTCCTCAGATACGTTTATTTTACCTCAAAGTGTCTGAAAGTCTGTAAATGAGTCTGAAATTTTTTTTCTTGAATCTGATATCACTTAGAATGTAATTCACAAAAGAAAATCTTTATCATCTATCAATTATGAGACCTACTGATGCAAAATTTTACTTAAATAATTAATCATTTCAGTTTCCAGCCCTAGAAATGTCAAGATCTTTGTCCATTTCATTCAATTAGTGTCATTTTGGGCACTTTCATTTAAAAAACGCCTGGAAACATGAGCAGAGACTTCTGATGAGTTGATGGACTGTCCATAAAAGGCATTTAGCTTGTTTTGTGGTGCGCCGAGTGACCAAAGCCCAAACCCAGCTGACTTATTTATCCAGAAACTCCAATAACGGCGTCCCACAAACCGAGCCCAGACACGTCTTAATGTGTTGGGAGTGGGGGGGTGGAGATTTTACGGAGGGTAGGCGCTTTTAAACCAGGCTGGGGTGTAATTGGAGTTGCGCTCTCCCACTAACTGCCCTTGAACAGTCCAGTTAAGTCTTAACGGCTCCCCTTCACCGTTTTTTCACCCGTTCGTGGGTTTGAACATTTAATGGGCCCATAAAGGATCCTCCATGTTCCTCCCAGCCAAAAGTCGGGGCGATCGTGCACGTTTCTCAGAGCTGGCGTGCATTTTCGGACCCTGGTTTGAGGTAAAGGCTCGGTAATGAGAAGCAGATGTTCTGGTGCTAGAGGGGCCCGGGCAGCGGGCAGCGCCGCTTTAACCTATTAAAGGCAGTAAAACTGATGCTTCCTCCTGTTTTCCCAATTAAAGCCCCAAGCCGCCTCTCCTCATCTGCCTCTCACTGCTGTGACTCCGATGCCTCGCCTGGCACATCTGGATTTAATCCCCAGGGATAAGGCTCCCCGTACGGCCACTTTTAACTGGACCGGGCTGGTGGGCATTACAGGAGGTCTGTCGGTGGTTCTGGTCCAGTGAGGAGCCTCTCTCTTAACACTTCCCTTAATGAAAACTCCCCGGGTCAAACTCTGGTCTGAACTCTATTAATTCTCCCCGTCCAGCTCCTCCCCACGGCCTCCAGAGGTCAGAGGTCAAGCTCATAAAGGTCCCAGGCTCACTGACAGTCTAACACTTAATCTGTCCAACTTTTATCTGCGACACGCTGAGGTTTGATAAGCACCCAGACGTGCAGGAGTGGGGGCTAAAAGGGCCCTCTTTATTGGACAAAGCAATCAGTTCCCCCAAATTACAAAGGAAAAAAACTCCTTTAATCAGTTATTTAGACAGAAATCACTTCAGCTTTATTGTTTTTTCAGTTTGCAGGGGGGTTTCTTAATAAGATGTAAGAGCGGCTGTCAATAGGAATGCATAATTGAGAAGTTAAAGTACATTTTAGTGAAATTTGTGAGCAAAAAAAAAAGAGAAAACAGGTGATGAAATTAAATCTTATGAAATTAAGTCACCATATAACAGCAAAACACTTATAAGATAGGATGAGAAATACCAAAGAATGTGAACAGCAGATTATCAGAACCAAATTCATAGAAAATAAAAAGCTGAAAACCAGAGTGGAGAATTAGACAATTGGTTTAAAATAAGATGACACACTCACATGTTTAACCTCTGCTGAAGGAGAGAAGATGGAGGCCTGGGGGTCCCCCTGGGCTCATAAACCAAAGCTTTTCTGAGAGGTTCGACCGTTCTGACGGCTAACCTGAGTAAAGACTTCAGGACAGATTTAACACGTGCTCTGTGAGGGATCTTAGTCACTTTCAGAGGAGTTCTGTGTTCTTTGATGGACCAGAAAGGCTGTTTGGGACCTTCTCCATCAAAACCAAACATCATCCTCACACCTAACCCAGCTGGACTGAGTTTAACTTGATTGGTGATTGGTGATCTCACATGTTTTCCTCTCGCTATTAAGGTGCTTTGCTGTTGTTTTGTGTCTGTTTGGTGGAAAATAAACCCAAACGGGATTTGATCAGATTTGATAGATTAATAGAAGAGCTGCTGTGGAACTTTTGGACAAATGAAACCTGTCAGTAGTTTAACATTCACTTTTTACTTTAACGTGAGTTGATTTATAAGGAAGAAACTCTGTTTTTATCTGAAATCATCTGTCCTCAGACAACATTGTGCAGTCACATGGCCGTACGCACAAAGAATAAAGCTCAAAAACTAAAATGGAAAAAACAGTCAGAGGACTGAACATCCCTGTTCTAGCATTCAATCCACGATTCCCTTCAATAACCCTCCTGTTGTCTCCAGTTCTGCAGCTAAAGAGTCCTAACTGTGGTTTTCTTCATCGAACTGGCTAAAAATGATATGGATGGTTCATACTCTTTTTAAACTGTGGCATAAATCTGTCTATGATAATACGTCAACATATGATCCAAACTATAGTGGAAAGGATTCAGAATTCCTATTTTTACCTCAAAATGAGTCCTCATTTCCTTTTAGATGAGCTCTATTCTACCATCCATTGAGTCCAAGTGTAGGAAATTCATTTAGTAAAGATTTGTTTATTGTTTTATATCTCTAGATATATTTTTTTCTGGCAATATTGGAATTGGTCGTATAATACTGGATTATTTGAGGACCTTCATCTTCAGATTGTTAAATCAATGAATCAGCAATTACTCACAACTCTTTACTCTTTAGTAACCCATTAGGGAATAAACGGTTACAACAATGGATGGATGGATGGAAATATATCAAATTTGGTATTGTAACAGCCCAACAGAGAGTAAGAGTCAGAGCACCTCGACCAATCAGGAGCGGGGATAGCATGCACTTATCCTCCTGTTTGGCCCTGGAAAGACTCCTCAGAGTGGCCCTCTCACACACACACTGATGTGTCCAGATAGCTTTGGGTGAATTGTCCCTTTTTCAGCCGAATGAAAGCTTTCTCTTCTCAGACAAACTGCAGTCGACTGCTCCTGATTCGGCCTAAAAAGGCCATTCAGCCCATTAATATTTTTTGAAAACACACGGCCCTCCCTGATGTGGTCATTGGCGTCCTGTGGAGCGTTACGGCACAACCAGTCATTCATGTGCGCCCCCCCCCCCTCCCTGTGTTTGTGTTGCAGCTGACGAGGCCCAGAGACAGCTCAGCATGTGCATTCTGTACCACATCAGCATGGAGGACAGATTCAAGCCCTCGTTCGCCGACACAGACTGCATACCACAGGTAAGGCTGGCTAGTGTACGCCACCGTGCAGACACGCTGGCATCAGCAGCCGAAGGGGGGGGGGGCGCCACATCTGGAGCCCAGCGCCTCCGGAGCACGGCTGCTCGGCCCTCTGTTTTCTTTGACCTCTTTCCACTGAGTGCTCTAAAGCGGCCCTTTTAGCCGGACATGTCCCCCGGCCTCTGATGGCGTTCTGCTGAGTTTCGGGCGCGCGGCCTCCTGATTGAGCCGACCCGGTCAGATGCTCCTCTCCTCGCCGGCGATTAGCTGGATGCGCGTCCTGTTTGTTTGCTGAGATTGGGTGTAAATGCCGGCCAGATGTGGCTGAGGCTCTGCTGTTTGCTCAGAGGGTCGTGTCGGCAGCAGATCTGCCCCTCAGGGTCCGCGGGGGCAGAGGAGGAGGCAGGCAGCAGCATGACCAGGATGTGACCTCTGACCTCGCCCCCGAGCTCCAGCACCCTGCCTCCGTCACCCCCATGAGGTCCACGATAAACCACTTAACACTAAAACCACACAGCCCAAATTCCCCTGCTTTTCAATCTGATTTCACTCCATTAAATCAGGTTTCGGTTTATTTTTTGGCCTTCTGGTTGCTCCAAAGGCTTTAAATCAATAAAAAAAATACCAATACAATGATTGCATATGGGCCTGTAGCATAACCTTTCCCAGATAGCTGTGCCATTTATCTTGATATTAAAAACAGTGAAGGAATTCAGAGAAAAATGTGTCAATGCCATATTCTGGCCTCCCATAGCTGGATTTGACTGATTTCGCGTCCTGCCGTGTGTCCTGAGGACAGATGAGCTCTAACAGATGCTTCTGCAGCGCTGACGCAGCTCTGACGTCCCGCTTCGCCGTGGTTTCCTGCTGAGGTTGCATTTCTTTCATGCCTGTCTGTCAGAGGCTCGCCAGGGGACGCTGGCTCATGTTTGCCAATCAAAAGAGGAGCAGAAAAGAGGAATTCACTGCCTGACATTTGGTTTTTTGGTGTACACTTATTTAACCCAAAGCCCCAGCCAACCCCCACCCACTCATACACCTGATGTGGTCTGTTGGTTAGATTGTTTTCCTTAATAAACTTTTACTCCTCACCCCCTTCATCTGTCAGCCCCCTCTCCTTTCTCAGTTTGCCTGAACTGCCCATTTCTACATTTAATGGGGTCACCGTTTGGAGGTGGGCGTGGGCTTTGCAGAGCAGGGAGGGGGGGTACAGCGGTGGGTTGGTCTAGCTTCTGGCCTGTCGGGGCCTCCAGTGGCTGGCTGTGGTAAATAAGCACAGGCAGGTGCCAGAGAGTCTAGACGGGGCTGATTTGGGGTCCGGGGCCCCTGGTATGTGATACCTAAGCCAGGCCCGGCCCAGCGTTTCTCTCCCTCCGTCTGATTCCTGACTCCTCACAGGAAGGCGGTGCAACTTGGCCCCCCCGCCCGCCACCACCTCCAGCTCCAGCTCAAAGCCTTTCCTGTTTAATGTTAAATCAGCACGGGGAGAGACGGACGGACGGATGGACGGCCTGAGGGGGGGCCCAAAAACACTGCGCTGCTCTCTTACACCTCTGACCTCATTCAGGTTGAGAACTGGGCACCTTTGGGGTACCCCTCTCCAACATTCACCCCACAGCTCAGATGTAACCGGTCAAGGAAAATGAGTGGTTAGTGCTCACTCAGAGATGCAGAGTGAGGCCCACAAACAGAGACATCAAGCGCCCTGCCGAGCCCTAAAGCTCCCTAAAGCCCTAAAGCTCTCACTGCACGTCTCCCGACTTGTTTAATTCGTTTAATTCTGGTTCCTCTATACTAAAAAGATCAGGGTTTGGTTTTTAACGTCTCTCAGCGAAAAGTTTGTCTTATTCATCTGCAGATATCTTTATTTTCATCAATGTGTTTCCACCTTAAGTCCAGTTCACTCCCATAATATTCAAATGTTTTTCGGAGGCTTCGTTTCCACTGGTTCCTTCAGAATTTGATAACAATCTCCCTTCATGGCTACCAAAGGCACCAAATGGTCACAGAACAGGACTACTTTAAAACAATGGACAAGCTTCAGGTTCATAATGATACATGAGTCTGGTTTATTTCCAAAGCCGTTTTCCCCATGCTCTATGGTTTTGAGCCAAAATAAGCCAGATAAAAATGTAATGGAGCCGTATCTCACTGATTCCCTGAGTTTATCTCATGGAAATGTTGTGTTAGAGATCATGCAGAATATTTCTTTATTATCACGGTTTAAAGCTAAAAAAAGGAAGGAGACTTCCTCCTATTTTCACCTCATGAATCACAGCTGGTAAATAAAGATTAAAAGAATCAGATTATGGGGGGAGTCTCATTTTGAAGAGGACAGCAGTATTTATGACATGTAAAAAGTTACCTAACAGTAGGGATTTGTTTTGTAATAAAATTCTATATTTCCTCCCATTAGATAATTTAGAAGTATTTAAAAACTCTGATCCACCTCAAAATACTATATGTTACACATTTTTGTCAACTTCTTTTCAGTTTCCTGGATTATATTTTTTATAAAATATATAAAGAAATGACCTAATGGTAAAACTAATGGTAATAATATTTATTCATACCAGAAAAAGTGGAATTATCAATGACACATTATAGTTATAGTGTCCAGTTGCTCAGCTTAAAGTTTTTCAGCCTTAAAATGAAATGTTTGTCCTGAGTTCATTTGATGTGTTTGACAGTTAGTCAAACAAAGCTTAAAATGTTTATATCGAGCAGTAATTGTCCCCCTTTTGCTCAGAATCCCCAGAGTTGAGAAACGCCTCTGTTCATGTTTGTAGTAAAACACAGATACAGTAGAGGGTGTGTGACAGATAAGATTTGACCTAACGCTCTTTATCCTGTTCCCCTGACAGCTGATGAGGATGCTGTTTGAATGTGGGGAAGAGAATATAGAGGTGGAGCTCATCTCGCTCAGCATCAACCTGGCTGCTAATAAGAGTAACGCTCAGGCCATCTGTGAAGGTACAAGCTCCAGAGGAGCACAGCAAGCCGGCACAGGCTCTCCATTTAGATTCTTGAGCTTCTTTTTCATTTGATCTGTTCTTCTTCTGTCCTTAGGTAACGGTCTGAAGATGTTGATGAAGAGGGCCTTAAAACGGAAGGATGTACTGGTGATGAAGATGATCAGAAACCTGTCTCAGCATAATGGACCAACTAAGAACTTGTTCTTGGTTAGTATTCCGACTGGCCTTTAGCCCACACCTTTAATCTGTCAGTCTGGTGCTGATTTCAGTTATTTCTGAGCATGCAGAAGAAGCTCTCAGCTGCAGACTGAACATGTTTACTTCCACTCACAACAATAATGATGAAAAATCCCACAAAGTTTAAACTTTTCTGTCAAAACAGGAATTCAAACATTCCTGAGTGTGAATATGGAACCCCCCTGAATGCCCAGACCAAACTTTGTGAGCTGTCCATTGCTCTCATTCTTTAACCTTCTTAAGTGTTCCTGACAAATAGTTTTCTTGGTACATTTTCTGCTTTTTTCTCTCATTTCCAGTCTTTGTAGCTGAGCATTTTCAGAGGGATGTGTTTTTTGCTTCATCAAGCCACATAACAAACTTAGGTTAACATTTAGTCAGAAAAAAGGCCCCTAGCTGTAGGGATGAACCAGTGTCTCAGAATCCTTTAAACATTTGAGGAAACAAGACTATGTGTTGGACCTAAAAAAACTATCTATAGCAGGTGAAGAGGATTTGAAAGTGATGTCCTTAAGAAAGAGGAAAGAATCCAGCAAAGAGCTGACAGGAGCTGAGAGATGCATCTGGACCTTCAGCTGATCATCTCCTGTTGGACCAAGCCTCATCAGAAATGCTCTCCATGAAGGGGGGCTGTCAAGAAGACATTCTTAAGGAAGGGAAACAGGGAGAAAACGCTGAGCTCTGCCCAGTGATACAAGAAGTGGACTGAAAATCAGTGGCAACAGGTCTGATGGTCTGCAACAGGTCTGGCTGAATCCTCCCCAGAGCCGGAGCTCCACATTATTGAAGCAGTGTGGATCATCTGACAGAGAACGGAACAAAAGGCAGCCCACATCCAAAGAAGAGCTTGGGGATGTCCTTCAAGAAGCCTGGAGAACTATTCCTGAAGACTCCTTAAAGAAAAGAAAGAGCTGGTTGGAGAGAGTTCAGGCTGTGCTGGAGAATGAAGGACAGTCATTTACTGTAAATACTGTTTCTGTATAAAGCTAACATCTATTCTGAGCCTGAACACAAAGTGATTACTGGTGATGTGAGAAAAAAATAATCTGTTGCTTTGTCGTGTTGTTTCTTTTTTGTCAGGTCTAATTTAATGTGTGTTTTGCTGACAGGACCATGTCGGGGACCTGGCAGCTCAGATCAGCGACGGGGGGGCCGAGGAGTTTGTGATCGAGTGTCTTGGAACGCTGGCCAACCTGACCATCCCCAACCTGGACTGGGCCCTGGTTTTAAAGGAGTACAACCTGGTGCCCTACCTGAAAGACAGGCTCAAACCAGGTGTGTGCACAAAGAGGTTTATGTGTAAAGCTCAGGTCAGACAGCTTTAAACCACACAGCAGTGCCAGATAACCTTTCTGCTGGTCTCCATCCACCTCTCTTTCAACCTGGAAACCAGACCTCTCCCATGGCCCATCTTGACCCCTGCTACTCACCCCACATCACGTTATCAGCGAGTTGTCTCTTGATAAAGTGAGAAAAGCAAAGGCACATACTTGTCAGTCTTATCTTCGCCTTTCATGACAACTGACCTCATAACCCTGGTTCATCTCATTGCAGAATTTACTCAGTTTGAGGTTGTTTGTTGTCTGACACTGAACAGAGAGGGAACACACTAGGGATGGGAATCTTCACAACCAAGGCGATACGATACACATCTCGATACACAGCCAACGATTCGATACATTCACGATTCATGGAATTTTTAGTGATAAGATTCGATACGATTCTCCAACCTCCTGCGATCCGGTGCGATACAGAACGATCTAAATTTAAAATGCTGCGATACGAGGACTTCCGCTTCTGGTATGCCCGAGTAGAGACGCACGGAGACGACGCTCCGACCGAAATATCTCTTAATTCGCCTGTTATTAGAATTTAATTCCACCTACATATCTAGAAGACGCTACCACAATGACTTCGTCACAAAAGACTACAAGAAAAGACCAGAGGATGGGGAAAAACGATGATGCGAAGACGACACAGAAACAGCTGACACTTGATGCTAGCATAACTCAGAATGAATCAGGGACCGACCTGTTAATGCTAACAGAGCTCCGCAAATTTCGAGAAGAATCTGGAACGGCGCAACGAGACATCTTGGAATCCCAATCCCGGATGGAGGCTTCGATTACAGAAATAAAAAAGAGAATCGATTCACTAGAAGAGAGACTGAACTCCGCGGAAGAGAGAGTGAGTAACGCAGAAGACCGTGACCTACAGCAGGGAAGGGTGCTAGCTTACTTACTTAAAAAAGACGCCAAAATAACCGCAAAACTGGATGATATGGAGAATAGGATGCGCAGGAACAATATAAGAGTGTATGGGATTAAGGAAGATTCAGAAGGAAAAGAGATGATCCCGTTTATTAAAGACTTTTTTAAATCTGCGCTGAAGCTACCTGATGGCATGGATATTTGCATTGAGAGAGCCCATAGAGCCACAGTTCCGAAGCCGAAGTCGACATCTTCTCCGAGATCCATAATAGTTCGTTTTTTGGATTTCAATGTCAAGCAGATGGTACTACAATGTGCGTGGAAACAGCGGAACATAGAGTTTCGGGGAGACAGAATTTTCTTTGACCAAGATTACTCCACCGAAGTGCAGAGAAAAAGAAAACAAGTGCGTGAGGTCATTAAAAAGCTGAAGGAACGGAATATAAAGGCACAGTCTCCATACCCAGCTCAACTTAGACTGTTTTTGGAGAAGGGTGTCAAGACCTTCTCCTCTCTATTGGAGGCCCAATCAACTCTGAAGGAACTCGGGATTCCGGTGGAGGTGGATGAGCGGGACGTCCTGGAGGGAGAGTTGCTACACAACAACTGGCAGACCCAGGGGAGACGTGGAAAGGCTGACCCAGGTCTGGATAACATGGACATCAGGGCCATACTAAACTCGGTGGATCAGCACAAGCAGGACTGAGACGGTATTGTTATAACTGATCCTATCCTGGTCTAGCCGACATTTTATTCAAAGGTGGATCTTGTTAAAAATATAAATAAGGACATACAGGTATAATATTATATTAATACTTATGGACTATCGGTTGGTGTGTTTGCAGTGAGTGTTTTACTTTTTTCCATTTCTTCTTTCTTTTTTTGGGCATTTAGTGCAGTAGAATAGGAGACTATGTGGTCTACTGCTTACACACATGGTGTAATTCTCCCAGGGAGACCAATATCCCTGTCCATTTTACATCAGGAGTGTGCTGCCTATGTTTTCCAAAAGGGCAGCACATGGAATACTTGGAAGTTCTGTGAAGATGAAGATCTGACTACTTGTTCATTCTGTTCATTGTTTTTCGGCGAGCTGTTTTTGACTGTTAAAGATATTTGCATAGAGTTCAACATATTACTGGAGGGATGTAACTTTCTTTTTGTTTTCATATAAATATGACGACTTTAAAAATTGTTACTTACAATATTAATGGAGTAAATCACGTTATAAAACGAAAAAAAAATCTAACGCAATTAAAAAAGTTGAATTGTACAATTGGGCTTCTACAAGAAACTCATTTAAATGAGATGGAACATGCTAAATTAAAGAGAGACTGGGTGGGACAGATATTTAGTGCATCCTATGAAAACTACAAAAAAAGAGGAGTAGCAATACTGTTTCATAAATCTTTATGCTTTGTAGCAGAAAATGTACTCAAAGATAAAGAAGGCCGCTGGATATTGGTGGTTGGTTCAGTTGGTGGAACCGCTCTCACAATTATGAATATTTACGCCCCAAATGAAGATAATCCAGGTTTTTTTAAAGAGCTAGCCCAAATTTTAGCGGGTTATTCAAAAGGAACAATTATTTTAGGGGGGAGACTTCAACTGTGTCTTAAATCATCACATGGATAAATTTCCAACAGAACAAAAATATCAACCATCAAAAACAAAAGCATTGAAGGGTCTCTTGGAGGAGTTGGGGCTGATTGATATCTGGCGTGCAAAACATCCAAAGATCAGAGACTATACTCACTTCTCAAAAGTTCATAGAAGCCACTCCAGAATAGACTTCTTTTGCGTTCCCAAACAAGCAACCCACAGAGTGGTGGACTGTCATATTGAACCTCAAACTATTTCAGACCATGGTCCTGTGATAATGTCTTTAAATATCGACCTGGAGAAATCATTTAAATTATGGAGATTGAACGTATCGCTTTTAAATAATCCAGAGACAATACAATATATAAAAGACGAACTAAATCTCTTTTTAGATATTAATGATAAGGACGAAATTTCACCATCTACTCTATGGGATACAGCCAAAGCATATTTGAGGGGTAAAATTATTTCATTTTCTTCAAAACTTAAAAAGGAACGAGAGAAAAAACAAGAAAACTTACAAGAACAGATTAAGAAACTTGAGACTACGCATAAAAGAACGAACGATGACAAGGTATTACAGGAACTTAGTAAATGTAGACAGGACTTGAATGAATTACTAACTTATAAGGCAGAAGGTGCTTTACGTTTTGCAAATCAAAAATACTATGAGCAGGGAAATAAAGCAAGTAGACTATTAGCATTTCAACTAAGAAAATTGCAGGCAAGTCGAACCGTTCAAAAAATTATGTGCCCAGTGTCCAAAAAACTAGTTTCGCATCCCAAAGAAATCGCAAATGCATTTTCAAAATACTATAGTCAACTATATAATTCAGAGACAAATCCTAACAAATTAAATAAAATTAGGCAATTTCTGCAACAAATTAATCTTAATAAACTTAACGAGAAAGAGGCTAAATCATTAGTGGGGACAATTACCGAAGGAGAAATAAAATCTGTTATAGGAAAGCTTAAAAATAATAAATCACCAGGAGCAGACGGTTTTCCAGGAGAATTCTATAAATGCTTTCAGGCTGAACTTATCCCACTCTTATGCAGAGTGTTTAATCATGCCTTGGACTCCAAAGACCCACCTAAAACATGGGCCGAAGCAATTATCTCGGTTATACACAAAGAAAGTAAAGACCCCACACAATGCGACTCTTATAGACCAATAAGTCTGCTGTGTAATGACGTTAAGATTTTAAGTGCCATCTTGGCCAAAAGACTACAAAAGATTATTAATAAACTTATCAATCCTGATCAGACAGGCTTCATACCCAATAGACTCGGATTAAATAATATCAGACGTACCCTAAATATAATCTCAATTGGTCAACAAAGCCCTCACACATCCATGCTTCTCGGCCTAGATGCTGAGAAAGCATTCGATCGGGTGGATTGGTTGTTCCTGAAGCAGGTACTATTGAAGATGGGCTTTAATGAAAACTTTATCAGTTGGTTTGAGGTGCTGTACTCCAATCCAACCTCTAGAGTACGCACTAATGGCTATTTGTCAGAAAGTTTCCCTTTAAGAAGAGGAACCCGTCAGGGTTGCTGCCTTTCTCCGATCCTGTTTGCTATCAGTATAGAACCCTTAGCAGAACTAATAAGAACAGACACATCAATTTTAGGCATACCGGATAAAATCAGGACTCACAAACTATCACTGTATGCTGATGATGTTATTCTGTATATAAGAGACCCAACAACTTCTATACCAAATATTTTAAAATGTTTGAAGGACTTTGGTGTGGTCTCAGGATATAAAATTAATGAATCAAAGTCAGAGGCCATGATGCTAAAAGGCTCCTGGCCCCCAGAACTATCCAATTCAGTGAAATTCAATTGGTCACCTAATGGATTTCGATATTTGGGAATCAATATTACCACGGATGTTTCCAAATTATATAAAGCAAATTTTGGGAAGCTATTGGACCAAATTCAAAAAGACTTAGATAAATGGGATATTTTACCGCTTTCCTTTTTTGGAAGGATTGAATCAATCAAAATGAATATTCTCCCTAGGTTGTTGTATTTGTTTATGGCCCTTCCTATTTGGGTTCCAACAACAGAACTAAACAAAATGCAAAAAATGATTTCAACTTTTATCTGGCAGAAAAGAAAGGCCAGAATAAAACTTACTCAGTTGACCAGTGGTAAACCTTATGGAGGTCTTAATGTACCAAACTTAAAATTATATTACTGGGCTGCACAACTACATGCAAGTGTAAGTTGGCTAATACAGAATAAAGAAACAACATGGCTGACATTGGAACAAAGCGCAAGCCCTAAACTTTCTTTACAGGCCCTTGTATTCTGCTCGACTGAAGTCTGGAACAAGTACAAAATTACAAATATATGGATGAAAAGCACTCAAAGGACTATAAACATGATTAGAAAAAATCTGAAAGCTCCTAAATCTATATCTAGAGCTACAAAAATTTTGGATATAATAGACTTTAAACCAGGGCAACAAGATCCGGGATTTCAAACCTGGCAAAGCAAGAATTTAATGGTTATTGATGACTTGTTTGAAGGGGAGATTCTGAAATCTTTTAACCAGATTAAGGAGAAGTACAGGTTGAGCAAATCTGATTTTTATAGATATTTACAATTGAGAAGTTACCTGATGTCCCACACCGAATGGTCCCTTCTTCAGACAAGACCTACTGATTTAGAATTATTCTTCATAAAGATTACCAAGGAAAGAAAATCTAATAATACTGTGTCAAATTTATACAAATGCTTACAATCATGTCTGTTGAAGGGATCCCCCGGGATAAAGGAAAGATGGGAACTAGAAATGAATGTTGTGATTGAAGATGAAGAGTGGGAGCAAGTATGCGTAACTGGACATAAACTGACTAACAGTCCATCATGGGAAGAATTTTACTGGAAAATAATCGTTAGATATTTCAAAACTCCATTTATTGTTTCCAAATATGATCAAACTAAATCAAATCTGTGCTGGAGACACTGCGGACTAATCGGGGATCACACTCATGTCTTTTGGGATTGCCCAAAGATTACGAAATTTTGGGAGGGAATTAGAGAGGAAATTTCAAATATCTTGCACACTCATATTGAGTGGAACCCCCGGATCTTTGTTCTGGGAGTTCCCCCAAATAATTTAAGTAAAGAAGAACAATACTTATTTGGTATCCTTGTTCTCGTAGCCAAAAAAATGATAACAATAGGTTGGTATAAACCTTTACCCCCTACTGTAAATCAATGGAAAGAGAAACTAGTGAATGTTTATACGATGGAGAAAATAACAGCAAAATTGAACTTGTCCACTGGTTTATTTGAGAAAAGATGGAACCCTCTGAAGAAATATCTCCAGTCAATATTGTAGTAAGTAACACACGGGTACACATTTTATAGGTAGACTTAACATATATCTCTGTTATGATAAAGACAATAGTCAATCGAGAAAGATTTTTCCTCTATTTCATCCCCCCATGTAAAAAATTCTGGATTTTCAGCTCACCGACTTGTTTGGTTGTTGTTGTTCAACTGTTTGTATGGTGGTATTGGAAACTGCTGTTTCTGACTTATTGTATTATTCATTGATTTTGAATATTGATCTGATAAAATAAAGTCTTTGTTCAAAAAAAAAAAAATAAAATGCTGCGATACAGTGTGATACGATACGATACGATGCGATGCAATGCAGAAGAAAAGTACACCATGGACTACATAGTTCAAGTTATGGCACGCAAGCTAACTGTGCCTTTTATTTTGAAACAAAGGAAGTGCAACTTAGAGAGTGATTGTCTCTCTGAATGGAAACAGGGATGGAAAGAAACGCAACTAAAACTCAAAGACACGTTTCTAAAAAGTTATAATAATAGAAGATAATAATCGGTTTGTATCGATGCAGGTAGTTTTATACGATGCATCTCGAGTTTATGTGCGGTTTTTACCGATGCAGACGTTTGCAAATCGATGCAACCGTATCGCACAGGTCGTTCCGATGTTCCGATACGCATCGGTGAATCTTGCCATGCCTAGAACACACCAAAGAAAGCATATTGGATATACAGTTTTAAGCATCCCTTCGTGAAACTCTACATTGTAATTGTAATATGAGATTAACCGTGAAAGACAAAATACCAATTTTTTCATCAAAGAGTTCCGTGAGCCCTAAATTTATTTACAGTTTTATTGAAACTGAAGATGAGTTTCAGTGTCAAGTGGATATTTTAAGAAACGCTCATGTTTCGTATGAGCCGAAGAACATAGTCGATTAAGTTTTCTTTCTATGATCAAAAGGTTTTTCTCAATCGCAGGGCCGCACAAAGACAAACAACCACTCACACTCACTCCTTAGGGCAATTTGGAGTCTCCAATCAACCTAACACGAAGGTTTGGATGGTAGCACCAACAGCTGCCTGTAAATCACCCCACTAATCCTCTGTTCAACAAACTGTTCTCTGAATCTGTACAACTTAGATTAAAAAATACTCTAGTCATTGTGTTCCCAGAGGCTGTTTCAGCATTTCAAAGTAGCTGGAATCCATTTCCCATCTTTTACGTCCTCTAAGCTTTGCATAGAAACTTTGCATAGAAATTTTCCTGATGCGATGATTTGGCTCCACACACTACTGTACTACTACTTACTACTGTAAGTGGAGGTTAGATGTGCATCCTGAGGACCCATTCTGATCAGACTGCTTCATGAATATGAATTTTAGTGGGATTGCACCTGTCTTTAGTTGTGTTGAAATCACCCAGGCTACAATTTAATTCCATACAAGAACTAGATTCTACGTTTCTTTTTAATCCACCACTGAATCCCTTTAAAGGCTAATTCTGATACGATGTCCTGGTACTGTATATGTTACACGTGGAAGAAGAAGGGGTCTTCACTGTGCAGCATATTCAATTTTTATTGATTTTTCTGTGAAAACATGAATCATAACATCAGGTCACTTTTGCTACGTCTCATCTCCGATCACGCTGTCTGACGTCTTACTCGCTTCACCACTGCGCGCGCCAGCAGCGGACACCTTGAATAAAGCAAATCATCTCAAACATACCAGTCCTGACACATTAAACTGTGGTCGTATTCACCAAACATCAGTTAAATTAACTCTTTTTTAACATCCATATTTATCATTTTTAAACACAATATTAATTCCCTTTCATTTCAGATACACATCTCCGTGCTGTAATGAGTTAACCTTATTATTTTTGCATATTATTTATAACCGTAAACAATCATAAACAAACGATAATACTAGTATAAGTCTAGTACTGAACCCATGAACTGACTCACCGTAGGCTGACATCACGCTACCGCGAGCTGAACGACTGCCAGTTAGCTTCGGTTATACACTCACCTATTAGCCGCGTGCTAATGTTAGCACCTCGCTCAACCCGTTGACACCAACCTAACTTTGCACGGCAATACGTTACCCAGTGTTCGCCCATCTCATCTTTACATATCATTACCTTATGACTTTTACATTTCTCTTACCCGTGAAAACATGAACAACAACATCAGTTCACTTTTGCTACGTCTCATCTCCGACCACGCTGTCTGACGTCTTACTCGCTTCAGCACTGCGCGCGCCACCGGCGGATACCTGAGAGACGCAGCGCCCCCTGCTGATCAAATTTTTTCACAGTCACACGCATACATAACATGAGTCAAAATGAAAAATTATAATTGGGGGTACACTGTAAATTGTCTTTGCAATAAACTGTTTGTTAGCACCAAATTGTCTGTGCAAACACCTTATGCCACATATAACCTCTCAGGAAGCCTTTAAAACCAACTGGACACATTTGGACACCGATTTAAAAGATGGCATTCAGTCAGATGACAGATTTTCTTCATGATTGCAGGTTCGGCAGAGGATGATCTCATCCTGGAGGTGGTGATCATGATGGGCACAGTGTCCACGGATGACTCATGTGCTGCCATGTTGGCCAAATCTGGCATCATCCCGGCTCTCATTGAGCTCCTCAATGGTATGACAACATCAGGTCAATTAGATGAAATATTTTAAATGTTTTTGTGTATCTGAATATAAAGATGTCTGACTGGGAATCATCAACATAACTGGAACTGTGTATCGTTATGTATATGCCTCATTCTGATAGGTGTCATCGTGATTAAATCAATGATCGAGTTCCCTCATTGTTTCTGCTTGATGACATGCAGGAAAGAGTTAGCATTTATCGGGATGATATGATAACAATGAGACAACCAGAACAGCATCAGTAACACTTCTCGTGAAAAAGTTCATCATTTATTTACGGAAAAGAATTTCTGTTTGAAATGACAAACTACAGGTGGTGCATTTATAGTTTTGTTTTTTAGATTCAACAAACCTCCATGCAAATATCTGTCCATTCTGTGCGGTACCTATGTGCTCTTTCTGTTGTTCCATTATTATATATAATGTGGTATAAAAGAATATACTTTAAATCCAATTTATTTCCAATATTTGATTTTTCATGGTATTCTATTTTTATAGTATTTTATTTGACGATTTATTGGTATTTATTGGTATATGGTCATTTAGATTTTTCATATGATTTTATATTTATCTTAGTGTATTTTGTTGTTGTGGTGCTTTAAGCATGAACAGCTCAGCTCCTCACGTTGATCATTTCTGCTTCTGTTGCTGTTTACTCTCAGCCCGACAGGAGGACGATGAGTTTGTGTGCCAGATTATTTACGTCTTCTACCAGATGGTTTTCCACAAAGCAACGAGAGATGTCATCATCAAAGACACCCGTATCCTTTTCTGCAGAATCCCCTGGAAGTGCTCTCTGCCGGGTTACTTCCATCTGTGTCCCTATAGAAACCTCTTTAACCCCAGGTTAGATTAGTTAAACTTTGGGGATATTCCATATCCCTGTAATTGTGCACAGTTGTGTTTGGGGGCAGCTGGTGACAAATTACAGCTATGCTCAAAGTCAGCATGTTTTGATTGATGTTTGGCTTTCTGTGTGAGGAAAGGAGCAGGGCGGAGGGGGAGGCAGGGAGGGTGATTTTTGCAGCAGAAAATGCGGAAAGCTGTTCAGCTGCAGAGCATCTATCATCTAATATATGTTCTAACACACCTGATAAACGAGATGAATTGTAAAAAAGGATTGAAATCTTTTCTTCCTTGAGTCGTGGTGGCAGAGGCCCCGGCTTACCTCATCGACCTGATGCACGACAACAACACGGCCATCCGCAAAGTCTGCGACAACACCCTGGACATCATCGCTGTGAGCACTTTAGGATGCGTTAGCTGTTTTAAAATTACTTCTGAGGGGGCTGATAAGTGCTACGGATGTGACTATGATAGAGGGGAAATAACAGCTAATAAGATTTAAGTAGAAAAGAACCTAACACTAAGCAGCAAAGTAACTCAGGGTTTTATGATTAGTTCTGTGTATTCCGTGTACCAAATCAGAGGGGTTTGTAAAAGCAGAGATTTAGCCTGAAAGGGTCTGCTCTCACTCTGTTTGTCCGGCATTAGATGTAAAACCAACTATTCTAGAACGGCCTCAGCCAACCCCCACCCCCACCCCCCGGTCAAACAGATCTGACAGCAGCGATTAAGGGGCCTGTGACTGACAGCTGTGGTCAGCTCCTGTCGGGCTTTGATGGCTGCCAGACCTCAGATCAGGGTAATTACTGCAAGTTTTAGTCGGGGGGGGGGGGGGTGCAGAGGAAGCGTTTCATTTAAATTATCAGTGGGTCCTGTTGAGCGGGGAGCCACATGAAAGGCAGCCGGTGGGCTCTGGAGTGTGTCAGTGGGTGGACCCACACAGAGCTATGCAGCCTGAAATGCTCAGACGTAGCTCATGAGCCCCCCCCCCACCCCCACCCCCCTCTTGTTGGCACTGATCAGTCACATCAAACTCATCCACGGCCCGCGAATCATGATGCCATGATGCTGGCTCAGCCTGATGGAGCGGAGTGGCCTCTGGTGGCTGTCAGTGCTGTTTCCTGTCTGAATGATTGATCCTGAGAGCCGGGGCGTCGCAGGCTCAGAGAGGGCCGTCACTGCGCCCCCCCCCCCCCCCCCCCCGCCCCCGCCACAGAGGAGAGAAAACAGCGCAGCTGCCCCAGCAGAGGCCTTTATGATGAGGCAACGCATCCCTGTGGCCTGTCCGGGAGATTAAAGGAAACCCGGCCGAACGTGTAGCCGGGACACTTCAAACCAGCACAGACCAAAGTCTGACCAGTTTTATCGGTGTTCTGCCTTTTGAATACACTCATAACAGCTGAAAATGAAAATAAAAAGTAGCAGAGCATTAATTCATACCAATCTGAAGTAGAGGAAACGATTTCCACACAAATGAAAATAATACCTCAAATTTCTCATGGCATTTCATGGCAAAATGAATTTTTATAAGCAGCTCTGGTTTTAAGACATTTCCCACAACTCTGGTTCTGTCAGAAACAGCCCAGAAGTGTCTCTCTATGGGAGCAAAAGAAAATTAAATGCCATCCAGACTGTTGCCTGAATTAAAACTTCTTGTGAAGAGCCGCTGTTTTTTTGGCCTTTTTAGAGCTCCAGATTCGTCTTTTCTATCCTCAGGAGTACGACGAGCAGTGGGGCAAAAAGATCCAGACCGAAAAGTTCCGCTGGTACAACAGTCAGTGGCTGGAGATGGTGGAGAACCGTCAGCTGGATGGGACAGGCGAGTCCTTCCTGTACGGCGAGGACGCAGAATCCTTCACAGGGAGCAGAGACATCCTGGACAGACCTGACCTGTTCTACAGCGCAGGTACTGAGAGCCTGAGCAGAGCTCAGATTCCAGATGAGCTCATCTTCTTTAGACCCAAATGTCTTCTTTTTGGTGCAGATGGGATCATCTCAGCAGACGGTACCATCAGCCCAGACTTCTACGATGACTTCCAGAACGGAGATCTGGGATCAGTCGGATTCGTCAGCAGGTATCGAGCTGCACCTCAGATGGGTTTGCTGCCTAATATGTGATCAGTTTCTACTCCAATGGACGGCCCTGACCCTAACCCCATCTGGTCCTGCCCCAGAAGCAGACTGTGTACCTTTCACTTATGCATTAATCTAGGTATTTCCACCAAAATGCAGCTTTCTTTTTGCCGTCAAAGAAGCCAGAGGAAAATAGTTTAGACGAAAATTGTTTGCTTTTCTTTCCTGATCCACAGACTGGTGTATGTACGGTTTGGAACTTCTGCTTCAGAATGGTTAAAATAATGCAAACCTTAAATCAAGGGACAGAAAACTGGGTTTATTTCAGGAAAAAAAGCTTCCCTTAAACCTTAAAAACGTTGTTTTTGACTTCTTGTCTGACAGGAAACCCTAAACTGTGAGTTTTGTTATTGTGAGTCTCTGATCGCTGATCTTTGTCACTGACCTGGGCCGGACCCGAGCCTGCAGCGCTCTGCCCGTCCCTGAAGGCGCCATCAGCAGCTTTGAGAGCAAACACTCCCCGGCTGTCTGAGCCTCCATGTTTCTCTGAGTCCTCTGTGGATCCTCCACATGCCTCAATGAAAACATAAAACTGAAGCTGAGGAATTAAGCATCAGCTCTGTTATCACCAAAGCTGACTCCGAGCTTCCTCTGCGTCCGGGTTTAATCCCCAAAATCAAGCAACAGCTAATTCGATACGCCGCTGAGATGACGAGCAGTCAGAGAGTTCATTGAGAGTGATTTGTCTTATTTGTTATCAGACCGGTCCGTGCGTGTGATTAAGCCCTTGTCGTTGGATGTCTTTCCTGCCCTCGCTAGCAGGAATGTTTTCCTTGGCTGCTGTAGATCAGCTGACCGCTAGCGGCTGAATCCACAGCAGAGTCATAGGAGACGACGGCGACCTGATCCAGAGAGAGGAATCCCAGCCACCCTCTCCCCCCCTCTGACAGCTTTGTCACTGACTCTGTCAAACAGGCTGCAGATTGGCTGCTTTAATTAGCCCGCTGCACTCTGAGCCATCCGGGTTAACATAATAATCAGAGCCCACTCACTTTAAACTGTGTGTGACACATGGAGCCTCTGAAAATGAACTCGGCCCTGTTCAGTTGCCTTTACTTAAAGGAATACTGCAGGTTCTTCTGATTAAAACCTGCAGAAATGACCACATTAGTTCAAATATGACCATCTAAGACCACAGTTATTCTAGGAAATAGTTTGTCCAGCAACACGTAAAACACGACATCATAGTTTGGGCCTATTATGCTGAATTAAAGCCAGAATGTTTTTTCATTTTTATTGGCTCAATGAGATCTCAATTATTTATGTATTTTAGTAAATGGAAATGTGATTCATAACCTGTTGAACCCCAACACCCTGTTACGAGGGGCAGAATTCCACAGAAAAACATTTAACAAAACAGACATTTATCATCCATGGAAAACTCTGACTCATGAAACAAACCATTGCAAAGGAACGCAGTTCAAACTTTAAGACATTACAGAGCAGTGAATGTCATAAAGATACGACCAAGATTCACTGAACCAGCAGCAGAAGAATACCAAAGTTAAGCTTCATGTTCCACAAACATCCTCTTAAATCCTGCCTTACCTTTGCTGCCATGCTGCCAAACCAAATCCAAGCACATTTAAGGAGAGCCATATGCGGAGCTCTACCTGCACAGAAACAACTATAACTTTGCTCTGCTTCACTCCTGCAGCAGCACAGATAACGTCCATATGTTGGTTCATGGTTTCAGTCAGTTTCTGACCCCCCGTGGGAACTTTGGAAAGGTCTATAAGACACAGTGACAGCTGCTGGGATGCTTCCACCTCTGATTAATCCTCTTGTTTTTGGGTTAAACAGGTAAACTTAAAACCTCTGCTTCTGTTGCCATGAAGTTTTAAAACTGATCAGATGACTCCGATTCAAGATTAACTGTCAGATTCGGTGTCAGTTCGCCCCAGAGTTTGTAAGACTTAGAGGCAGACAAACAAACGGCGTGTGACTTTGAGCAGGAACACGCCAACAGAGGAATCAATGAGCGCTTTCAGACGTCGTCAGGACACCGTTACGGGGGGGGGGCGTGTTGGTGAGGTGTAACCCGAGCAGCCTCTGATCAAAGCTGCCGTGGAGGAGCTGGAGGGTTAGGCTGAAGGAGGGAAAGGGTTGGATACCCCTTCCTGTTAGCGGCGGGATGGTCGTCTGTGCTCGGCTCCCGCTCCTCTGGGGCCGAACCTCCGTCTGTGGGAACACTGGGCCCCTTTGTCCTAATGCCCCCCAGCTTCTCATTTGTTGGCGGCACAGAGTGGAGCAGGAGGCAGGCGGGCTGATTTGCATGTTTCATAATGAGAAATATCAAGGCTGACGACGGCTGTATCGGCCGTGGTTCCTGGAAACCTAAAGCACTCTCTGCTGAGACCTTCAGTCCCAATCAGAGTTTTTATGCATCGAAAAGAGAGCAGTAACAGGAACGGTAACTAAGTCACCCAAAGCTCTGATTTATTTCACTTTTTTTACTTTCACTTTTAAATGCAATTTAAAAGTGAAATAAATCAGCAATTTCTAAATGCAATTTTTAGCCAAACTTGAAATTAAATTAGATAGTTAGAGTAAATTCTGCAGAATTACCGAAATTAAAGTGACTGTATGCGCAGAAAGCAAGCCACAAGAACAAGGTTTTAGGAGAAACATGGATATCAACAAGCAAAACAGCAAAAAATAGCAGTCCAGTGATACGAACTGAGGCAGAATACACACGTATACCTTTTTTTTCTTCTTATGAAAATATGTGTGTGTGTGTACTTTCCCTTTTGGACCAAACTGGGCTTAATTATCCAGACTGAACCTGAATTCCTCGTGATAAAGTTGTGTCACAGGCTCAGGTGCTGGCAATCAGTCACATCATGAAGGGAGGGTCATTACTTTTCTTTATTTATCAGAGCCGTCACCAAACATCAGGACTCTCTCAGGTCCGGCGCAGGTCCTAAAGGCCTGGAGTGTAGGCAGAGAGCCGGGCCGGCTCAGAGCTCCTCTGTTCCTCTGGCCTGCTTCAGCCCGGCTCCAAATCCCCCCTGACAGCCGTAGCGTGCGGAGAGGAAAAAGACATATTTCTGCTCCGAGAGGAGGGAGAGGAGACTCTGAGGGGGTGAGGCGGCATGGGGCAGAAGGGAAAACAGAGGAGAGAGATCAGGGGCCGGCGGGATGGGGATACGCTGCGAGCTGGAAGTGATTTGGCTAAAAACAACACGTCATTATGGGCGCTCGCTGGGGCAAAGCAAACAGCTCGTATTTTAGAGGACGACAGCTCGGGCTGCTTCCAGAAAAGAAAAGGAAAATGTCAGGACTGGTGTGAGATGTGGCGTCATCCGTCACATCCCCGCAGTAACTGAGCTATACGCCGTAGATACGAGCCCACCATCCCCCCCCCCCCCCCCCCCCCGGCAGGCCCCCGATGCCGGGTGGACGTGAGCCAGCTCCTCCAGGTCTGGCCGTCAGCCTCCATCCTCGTCACTGCGTTATGTTTTGACATCTAGCCGTTTTTTATGGCTTTGGCCGCTCTGCTGTTTACCCCTCCAGCCATTCACAGTGTAACTCACACACTCATTATGGATGTCCAACACCTGCGTGGGTTCAGAGGAGTATTACATCCAGCTTTTACAAGCCTCTCTGTGGCCAGCCCGGCCCTCAGGGGCCTGGCCGTCAGGAGATGTGTGGTGTCAGAGCGCCACCTAGTGGCCCCCGGCTCCTGAAAGGGTATATGACGTCTAAAAGATTCACAGTAAACGAGAAGACCGGGACAGATTACGAGGGAGTGTTAGAAATGGCAATACTCAGAGCGTTCTGCCCCCTGGTTTCCTGAAGATAAATACACGACTGGGATTAAAATTCACAAAACATCAATACATTTCTGAGGAAGTTTATCTATTAAGGATTCTTGAAAATTACAAGGAAAGCTGTGAAAGTTTAGCTTAAAGTAAAAAAGAATTGGGCTGAAAAAGAATCCACAGACCACATAGTGGTTAGATATGGATGTTTGTGGTCTCAAAATGTCCATTTTAAGATAAGACCTTGATTGAATGCATCATTTTTTAAAAATCTGCTATAATTTAGTGTTAGCAAGTACTTTTTACGCCGTACATAGTTATTTCTCCGTTTCCAGGACTTCATTATCAGCGGTGTTAGAAAGTGGAATTAGTTCTGGTCTGTGGCTGCTCTGATCAAACATTTAGCAGGTACGAAACTGCTCACAGAAGGTTTCCCTATGCCCCATGTAGGTTTCAGGAGTTTAAAGGACCATGTTTTCATAGCAGGAAAATCCTGTTTAGCTGTAATCAATTATATGAACCTCCCTCTTTTGTCCCTGTTCTCCTCCAGCTTAACGGATCCGTTTGTCCCAGCTGCTCAGATCCCTGCAGACCGGCCTGTCCCCGCCTACGGATTCTGCCCTGATGAACACTTCCTCTTCAACTACCCCCCGTCCTCCCGATAAACCTGGACCCTCCAACCTAACACCACCTGTGCGAGGCCTCATGTGTTGCTTTGTATTTCTTTCTCTGTTAAGGACCAAAGAATGTGAATGGATCTGATGGCAAACATGCCTTTACCTGCTCTGCATAGAGGGGAAAAAGGCTCTAAGATGCTCTGGTGACATCACAGACTGCCCAAACAGGACAAAGAGGAGGATGATTACAGATGAAAACCTAAGCTGTTTTCAGTCCTTAAACCCCTAAAACACGGCTCGCGAGAGCCTCTTCACCTCCTCTTTTTCTCAGAGGGATGAGTTAAAGAATTTTAGAGCACAGGTTGTGATTTCACCAAAACATTTCTAAAAAACATATTTTGGCTTCTTTTCACACCTATTTGACAGTCTAGAGATCATTAAAGAAACGGGGTAAAAAGAAAAATTAGAATTTGGGAACTCTATGAAGGATTCATTCATGCTCGTGTTCAGTGACGCCACAGCAGATGGATTTCCATAAACAGAGGGAGGAAATGTTTTAAAAGTCTTTTAACTGACACATTCCAAATTTTGAGAAGCATCCTCTGACAAAGATCAAATTTTTGATGGATTTTAAATACTATTTGGAGGCCCCAAGTTGTTTTAAAAAGTTAAAAAAAAGTAAAATAAGAGCCGAAAACATGCTTTTCTTGTGGCCGCTCTGTGTACTGAGTTTGCTTTTGAAAATTATCTGTGTGCTGCTTTATGGACACAGACTGAACAAAACTGTGAAGGAAACAGTTGAAACTCCACACCAACCCTGTTTCAAACAGTTGTGTCAGCACATTCCTGTGTGTCAGTTTGTCACTGCAGAGTTGTTCTTGTTCTTTATTTATCTGAATGTAATTTAAGAAGAGACTTAAACTGCCTTCATCGTTTTAAATATGATCAAATGTGAGTTCTGTGTCTGTGTCCTTTGTGTGCCTAAAGCTAAAATATGAAATGCAATCTATCAACCTAATGGAAGGAATATTGTTGCAGTTAATCTGTGTCAGATCTCACGTTTCCAAAGCCGTGTTGTTATGGACCTCAAATAAAAGATGGAATAATCATTCTGCTGTTGCTTTTGGCAAATAAAATCATTTATTAATTTTTTTAACCCCCAAGAGACAGAAAAAAAACAGATTTGTTACACACTTTTTATCATTAATCTTTTGTTGACAATTTATGGTTCCCCACCCACCCAACCTCTGTGAGAGGCTCTAACACAGGAAACAGGCACTTAGAGGAGGATGCAGGGCCCGTCTCCATGGTAACAGCATCCACATGTTGGAGACTGAGCTCCTCACTGCGACATGCAAGGCACGAGAAGGCAACACAGAGCTACTTTGAAGGCACTCTACTGAAAGAAACCCTTCAGTGTGTTAAAATACAGTTTCAGAATGGATGAGGAGGAAGATCCTGAATGTTTTGGTTTCTGGGGGGCATACAAGTTCAATTTGGTGATGTTTACATCAATTATAGAACAGGATTTAAGCCCCAAATCAAAGAAAAGTCATCTTTCATCTGGATATCACTCACATCTGCATGTCTTAAAATATGTAAATACCCCATTAGGCTTGTGCTGTACCAGGGATCTTGTCTTTTTTTTTTCTAACCTTTTCTGAGGAGCTTTGAGCGTTAGCTGACTGTCAGGAATCATGAGTAACACATGGCCCTACTGTTAGGATTTTTTTACAGATATCTTTTAGATTAAAGATATTTCCTGAGACAGGAAGTCTCCCTGGGAGGTGCATTGTGGGTACAATACCTACTTTCTGTGGTGAGAATATCCATATACTTTCAATCATGTGCAATCCTTCTTTTCGCAAGAACTGAGCACTGGGATAAAAGTCAGAATTTAAGGGAAAGACTCAGAGGTGCAGCCGGTGGTGTATGTGATGATCTTTATAAATAAGTTACCACCGTGCATGCATATCTGCTTAAAAGGTTCTTGGAAGTGTTTCTGTCTGAAAACAGGAAGCTACAGTTAGATTCTGCAGGTGTCCTTGCTGTGATGTCACAGGACGCTTTACTCCTCGCCTTGATAATGCTGCACTGGCTCCTCCACCTCGATCACCTCCACCACCAGGCTGCGGATCTCCTTGATGCAGTCCAGGGGCTGTGCGTCTGGGCTGGGAGGCCCCCCCTCTTCAGGCAGAGTGTCCTGATCCTGGTGGGCTTTGAGCTCTGTCTGGGTCGGAGTGGGCAGTTCGCCTCTTTCGGTTTGGACCTCGGCTGTCTGGTCAGAGCTCAGCGGTGCTTCGATGATCTCCAGAACATCAGAGGTGGCTGAGACCTCGTCTGAGGACTCGAGATCCGAAGGAGCCGACTCACTGCCCACCAACACGTCCAGAGAATTGGGGTCTGAGGGAGCTGGTTCCGCTTCTGCCTGCTTCAGTTTGTTGTCTCCACCCCAAAAGGGAGCCTCTGTCTTCTCCTCTGAGCCCTCCTCAGTTTCACCTCCCCCTGTCGGGGGGTTTTCGGGTTTATTCGTTTCATCAGGACATCCTGCTTCAGCTGGACTCTGTACAGAACCTGGACTCTCCAACACAGCGGGTTCTGCCTCCTGTGGAGAATCTAGGCTCTGCTCTCCAGGCTCAGCAGCTGTCGTCTCCACAGAAACCTCCCTCTGAGTCAAAGTCTGCGGAGCTGCAGCGTCCTGAGCCTCAGATGGAGCCGGGGTTTCTTCTGCCTCCCCTCCGTCAAAGTCCTCCCGCGCTGAAGCTTTGGTTGGTGTCATGTCCTCCTCTTTCTTGAGGTTTGATGTCAGGTCCTCCTCCTTCTGGAGGCTCTGGGTCATGTCCTCCTCTTTTTGGTGGTTCTGTGTTAGTTCTTCCTCTTTTTCCTGGAGGATCGGTGTCAGGTCCTCCTCCTTCTGGAGGCTCATTTTCAGTTCCTCCTCCTTCTGGAGACTCGGCGGCAGGCCCTCTTCCTTCTGGAGGCTTGGTGTCAGGTTCTCCTCCTTCTGGAGGCTTGGTGTAGGGTCCTCTTCTTTCTGGAGGCTTGGTGTAGGGTCCTCTTCCTTCTGGAGGCTTGGTGGCAGACCATTGGCCACCAAAGGAGATGGAGGCTTTGAGGATTTAACGGGGGAGGACAGCGCGGGGCTGCTGGGGGTGGAGACGGTGGGGGAGGAGAGGCTGGAGCGACTGGAACGACTGAGCAGGTCTCGGCTGTCTGTGATCAGGTTGTGCTTCTTCAGGCTGGCCGCCTCCTTCACCACTGCAGAGGGGAAGCAAACAGGATCTGTTAGAAGGACCCTGCATGCCCAGGGGTGCGACGTGAGGGCGTGTGGGTGCTGTTGTACCTTTAGAAACCTCCTTGTCCAGGATCTGTAGGAGGATGCCCTCATAGACGTTCTCAACATGGAGGAAGTTGGCGTGGTCAGAATAGATGGTTTGTTCCAGAGTCTGAAGCTCCTGTTCAAACATACAGAAACATTAGAGTCACGCAGCTCTCAGGGACCCTCAGAGTCTGAGTAAAGTAGCTGGAAGATGATCCAGCTCTGTTTGGAGGACTCTGTTCTGAACTGAAGAACCCTTTCCCATGAGAGGAGTCCAGCCAACATATTTCTGAAAATAATTCTACAATAGTTCCTCTGAAGATGACATGTGTGGGTCTTTGTGGAGCCACAGATTGATTCAACCACACATCTTAGAAATAAAAAAAAGATATATATTTAGTTACTATATCGATAAAACCAAAATATGTTAGTGAAAATATGCATGAACTGCTTATTGACTTCCTTTTTCAAAAAAGGTTTTGTCATGTTTGTGTAATATTTGGGGTATTATTTAAAAGATTGAGACAAGGAGATAGGAAACACACTTCTTCAAAGCTTTAGATTCATGACTGCTTTATACTGGGGCAGTTCAGAGTCTGACCAGCAGGTGGCAGCACAAGCGAGGTCAGAAACATGAATACTTTTCAGGTTTCTTAAGATTAAAAATTATTTCTGGCGTTAATGTCAATCATTAAGAACCATCAACATCATTTTATTTAATTCAGATTCATTACTTTACTAAGGAGGATTTCTATTCGACGTAAATAGGCAGAAATAATAAAGCTAACAACCTTGGAGCTACTTTTACTCACTGAAAAATGTGGTTCTGATTAAGAGTTGGATACCATGAGTTAATTTGTTCAATCAAAGCTGGCTCTCTTTGATTGCAAACTGGCAGAGGAAACCATACATTTTTCTATTTTTTCAGGCTCTAATATCTGGTAGTTATAACAGATTTAACACTTTCTTTCAAATCAAGGAACAATACTAGTAAATTTACTGGATTTAAAACCCCTAAGTGACTCAAACTGAGCATGTTCTGGAGAAAAAGGACCATAAGGAAACACTGGATCTCATCAATATTGTTATTTTTAGGAAACTTATCATAAATAACCATAACCTGCAGAGGGTTCCTTAATGTCTACTGTCCTGTTTTAATGTCATTCTTAGGGTAACTCCGTGTTGGAGGGGGAGTTTGGTAACTTTTGCCCTTCAGTCAGATCTAATTTAAGGAAAAGATGAGGGTGTGTTGTATGTGGGAGCCTCACAGCTTTGCAGGTGGGGGCCAGGTTCTTTTTGATGAAAGGCAGCGTGATGGAGACGAGCGCGTCCTGGAAGATCCTCTTCCTAACCGTGCTGCTGTCATAGTCGTATTGCTGCAGGGAGATGAGTTCAGAGGTCAGTGGAACTGAACAGATCCAGCCCGAGAAGCTCGGCGTTAAACACTTAAAATCAAAAAGCCCATGGTCGGCGACCCTGCGCTTCAAATATGACAAAGAAGAGGCCAAAGCTGCAGCAAAAAAGCCTTTTGATTCTTCTGTTATGATGCAGAGAGTGAGCAGAGCTGCTGCTTAACTGCAGGAACCAGCGGCTGAATGGAGTTTGAGGCAGATTTTTGCTCTAAAAGCTCACCTGGCCATTTGTTCTCAGCATTTTTCACAGTTTCATGAACACTAAAGGCAGTGAAGGGTTTACCATTCAAATCTCCACCTCTTTCCTCTCCTTTTAAAATATAATAATTATTCATCAAATCTGTCTGAAGTGCAACACCTACATATAGGTCCTATAATAATGATGGGATGTGGGGATGTTCTGAGGCCCAAATGAAACATTTTCCTGCCTGTTTGAGGTTTCCAGCTGCTGCGGACGGCACGGTGGAGCAGGACACCTCCACAGCTAGTTTGCCTAATCTAACCCCATAACTCAGGGACAATGCAAATCTCTAAAGAAAGCACTGTTCATACTCTGGCGGCTGCTCAGAAAGTGACTTCATCGCCCCACCCAAAGTGTCATGAAAACACTGCTGTGTTAAAGTCAGCCTCCCTCCATTAAAGGTTTCCTTCAGGGACGGAGTCATCTGCTGTTATAATTCAGAGAATCCAGTGGCCCGTTACTCATGAGATGGGTGTGGAGGGGCTGCAGCTCGGAGAGGTTCAGAGTGAAGCGTGGCGTGCGGCTGACCTTCAGCACTCGGTGTTTGGCCTTTTCGATGGCCTCGCCGGGGCTGTCGGGGTGGTCCTCGATGGCTTTAGAGAGCAGCTGCTGGAAGGTGTAGGCAGCGTTCTCCATCAGCTGAAACAGGAGGAGGAGAAGGTATCTGTCTCTGTTATCTGTTAGCTAAGGGAGGACCCCCTCAGCGGGTTCAGGGAGGAGCTTCTGCACCTGCTGCAGGTCGATCTGAGCGCTGTGGATCACTCCTGTGGTGCTGGAGAAGCCGAATCTCTCCTTCAGGTTCTGCAGCCTTTCCTGCAGAGAGCCGATCTTCTGGTAGCAGCTCAGCAGGTTCGGCCTGGCCATGTCGGCCAGCGCCTGGTGACAAAGGCGGAGACAGTCATTAGCTTCAGCTCCTTTGAGGGGAACATCCTCTGTACGCGTCTACATCTTAATCATTTCTTGTTTCATTTTGAGTAATGAGGAACATTTTAAGGCCCAATATTCCATCTATGAAACAGCTGATTACTAACAGCTAGTTAATAAATGTGGGATTTAATCTGTTTCAGAGGAGACAAAACAAGCCACTTTTATGGAGGATAACACAGCCAATGAACAATAAGCAGAAGTGATTTAATAAATGAAAATGCAACTGGAGCTGACCTTCTTCAGCTCCTCGCCCTCTGTTCCCTGAAGGACGTCGTGGCACACCTGGTCCATTGCCGCTTCGCTCAGCTGTCGCCCCTCCAGGAACCCGGAGCTGACTGGCTCCATCAGCTCGTCCAGGACCGAGCCCAGGTAGGGCTGGACGGAGTCAGAGCACAGCCTCTCAGCCGGGTCCGACACTTTGGCTGGAAGCAGAGAAGCAAGCCGGCATGTTACAGTCAAATTGGAAGCAATCTGTGTTTTATCATGAACTATAATTAAAATTTCTTTGAGTTATCATTATATTTCTATGTTATACATAAAAAATACTACAATGCCGAAATATATAGAATTAAAGTAAGACAAAATATAATTATCTTAAATAAATATAATAGTTATAGATATTGATATCAATTTATATTCCCTTCATAGTTTTTGTTTATTTATTTCTTTATCTATTGTTAATATAGTCATGTCTGTTATTTTCAAAAATAATTACAATTAATTTATTTAATGTACAGTTCTATTTTGTCTTACTTTTAGACAATACAGATTCAAAGAAAAAATAGAAAAAAAATATAACAATTAATACATTGAAAATACAAAGATTTAAATAAAATTAAATAGGTTGTAATAACTGTTGTTAAAGAAAAAATACAAATATGAATGAATCATTTTCAATTGTTTATAGTTATATTTATGTTTTCACTATTACTTTTGGCAATATCATGTCTAATTGTAATTATGAACAATGAGTTAAGCTATGATTTATTATTTCATTGGAGTTGTGCTCCATATGAGGGAGATTATCAAATAAATGAGGCCAAATCAAAGCAAACAGAGTTTGTATCTGGGAGCTAAACCGTCTCAGCACCTCGGATGTTCTCCTCTAGCTGCCGTCTGGAGCTGAGGATCTGGTCCATGTCGGAGTGGATCTGCACCTCCTGCTGCCGGGCCGATGAGCGACACTCCTCCTTCAGCATCGACAGCCCCTCCAGCAGATGCTCCTGGACCAGGATGTACGCCGCCTCCACCGTCTGAGCAGAGCCAGATCCCACCGCTTAAGACCTCCAGGTGGGAGGTTTGATGGTTAAGGACTGAAAATTGACTCACTGCAAACCAAACTTTCTTCTTCTCCGTCTTTTTGGCTTTGAGGCGAGGCAGAACGTCTTTCTCCAGAGAGGGCAGCAGCTGCTCCATCACCAGGTTGGCCATCACCTAAACACACTCGTACATTATTCTGCCGCCTGAATTCATCTTAAAGACAAACTGTATGCAAACAGAGCTTTCAACCTTTGATCCTCTGGAAATGAGGAGAATCATCCTCTAACCTTGCCTCAGTTTTATAAAGAAATGTAAGAAAATCCATTGTTATTTTTTTTTATTCTTTCCTTTTATTTTATAATTGGTTTTTGAATAAAATAAACAGTTTGATTTAAACATATGTCATTAATATTTCTAATATTTCGATTTATTTTATGTATTTTGTATCATTTTCCTTTTTTATTTCTTCCACGTTATTTCCACCTTTATTTTGACTTTACCATAAATTATTTTATTCCTTTGGTTTCTTTTTGACTTTAGACAATCATCCTGCCTTCACGAAGCAGAAACCGTGAGTAAACTCCAGACGTCCAGCTTTAAAACAGCAGCCTGTGCTCTGTGGTGCGTTTGCAGGCGCTGGTGTGAACAAACAGGAAGCGTGCGACTCCGAGCTGCTCCTGCGTCGCTCTAAAAGCTGTGAACACTAGTCGGGGCCGACCTCTGCTAATGTTTCCTGTAACAGCCAAACTTCCTCATGGTTTTTACCAAACAATGGAGCCTTCACAGGCGGCATGGGGGTGGATTCCTGCTCTGCCGGTGAGGGAAACGACCAGAGGAAGGCCCAATCAAAGAAAGTGGGCCAGGGATGAAGGCCTAAACTTAAGCTCCTCTGTTTGGATTCCTCTGCCTCATATTTATTGAGCAAACAGAGGATGGGTGCACATGCTCTGCAGGCTGGAAACAGGGCAAAAGAAGCCCATTCATAAAGATCCATTTAAAAAACATTCCTGCTGGAAAATAAGTGAAAATATGTGACTTCCGGTCTCACAGAAACGAACCACTGAGTTCTTTCTAAGGCGAATCTGTCCTCCTACCCTCATATTAAACAGGTTTTCAGGACTGCTTTCTTCTCCTTTGTAAGATTTCCAAAATGAGGAGCATCCCATCCCCAGCCAGTCCAGGAAAGTTGCTGCCCTCCCTGGTTTTAGTTCAGGACTTTAAAATGGCCCTGATATCTTTCACACTCTTAAGGTGTGTCAGACTGTATTTATATAATATAATTCCTGAACAGAAAATATAGTTTAAGTGGTTGAATGTTCTGCTTGATGCATTTCTGACTTGTCAGAGAACCTCAGTGAGTTGGTCAAGATTTTGGGAGAAAAAGGGGATCTGGGAATAAAATCCTAATCCTGAAAAAGTAAAACACTGACACAAACCTGATAGAGAAAATACACAATAAATCTATAAATGGATGTGAACATATTATAAGGAGATATAAAAGGACAACAAACAGGGAATATTGTACCAGAAACGCACAAAACTACCCCAAAAGATACAAATTAATATTAATAATCAAGAATGGAAGCTCTTATCAAGACCAAAGATATGACATTTAAGGGTTATTATGAGAGAAAATGGATCATTTTGCTGCTTCACTTGGGTATTAAGCACAAAAAAGCACCTTTTTTCACAGATTTCCCTATTTTATAAAAGCCACATTTAGCTCAGTCAATTAGCTGCCAACATATTGGGGGAAACTAAAGTCTTGAGGCTTTTCCCCTGGGAGCAGACAGAGGGGTGGGAGGGTGGGGGGGGGGTGTGGACGTACCCTGACGTCGCTTCCCATCAGCATGTCCCAGGCCTCGTAGTGGCCGGCGTCCTGCCGGTGCAGCTGCACGGCTTTCAGGAAGGCCTGGACCTCACACGTCTTCTTCTTCAGGAAGTCTGGCACACACAGAGAAGGAGGACAAGCCGTGAATGAGCCTCGTCTTCGCCCTCTCCGCCAACCCCACCCCACCCCAGGTTGGTGTGGGATGTCCGTTTCCAGGGCAACTGTGGCGGACGTGAGCCTGAATGGCACGAACCCGTCACACAGCTCGCGCCTTTAATTACTGATTAAATTAGAGCACAGAGCTGGAAATACCCAGAAATGACTTTAATGAGGCCGCCAGTGGAGAGGAGGGACACATTAAAATCAGTTTAACTTCATTTTTAATACCCACATGGTACAAAAAGCCCTGTTTCTTAAGGCGATGCTTCTAAAATAGTCTCATTATTGGAAGATGATTTAAAGAAAATTATAATTGTTTATGAGATGAAACTGAGCAGAAATGACAATTATTTACTGGTTTAAGCCTCTACTGTTAACTTTTTCTTTATTAAGTCACAGAAAACCAAACAAAAAGCACCAATTAATCATTACAACATCTGCAGACCAGTAATCAGTAATGAAAATATGAACTGAATCCATTCTACAGCCATATTTATTATTTATAAATCTAAATCTGTCTTCTTGTAAGATGTTTTTAACCATTTTTCTATAACAAACTAGACTTGCCTGCACTAAAACAGCTCAGATTCCATTTTATTTAACTTCATTCAGTATTGTGGGGCATAAATGTGATACTTTTATAGCAGATTAACACATTTGGACTCTTTCACCCTCCTTACAGGAGTGAGATGAATCATTTCTTCTCCATCTTTGCTGTCAGATGAAGGTCTAAACTGTGTTTGTCTGTGCTGCTCTACCTTGGTTCTGGTGCCTGATGCAGTCTGATAGGATGGACAGGAAGTCTGCTTGTTTGGCCTGCTGTCTGAAGCAGAAGTACGAGTCCCTCCTGTAGGGGAGACGCAGGTAGACTGGAAACTGACCCGGCATTCCCGGCAGAGGAGGCGCAAATTCCTCCTTCACACCTGAAACAAAGCAAAGAATTCCAATTCCAGCTCAGAATATGTAAAACAAACCTTAAAAACACAGACTCAGCATCCTGTCCAAAGAAGCTTATCTCATAATTTAGCTCACAGTGTGGTTAATGAACTCTGGTCAGAGGTTTTAGGGGCCCGTCCATCATATTTTCCTCTCAGAGGTCAATAATTCTTCTCATACCACATATCTAAGGTTCTAGGGGTCACACCTTTCAGTTAATATGAATGCATCCCCAACACAAAACATGTCACTTCACATTGTGACATGATTAAGTTTTTGGGGAAACAGGCCAAATATCTAAATCTTTAACACAAAATCACATCAAACAAGGATATTTCTTCCATTTGTATCTCTTTAAAGGGGACTCCCTCCTTCTTGTTTCCTGGCATCATATTGCAGGCTATAAAACTCCCAAAAACACAACCCTTGTTTAGTTGGACCTTTGTTTAATGAGCTGATCTTTATCTCCACATGAGTTGCCCCTGCCAGCTTAGTTTACCCCCCCCCCCCCTCCCCCCCCCCCCCCCCCCCCCCCCCACACCACTTTGCAAGGTGGATGAGGCAATTTATTGTTGACCTCTACAGTCACTACTCAACACATTTGGGGCTTCAGGGAGAGTTTTAAACTCTGAGTCTTTATTTCTGATTAAATAGGAAGGAAAAGTTCTGCTGATAAAGGTCAATCACAGTCACACATCCACTTTGTGGGGAACTAAACAGATACCTTGGAAAGAGTTAGGCTCAAAACCTGTTTAGGCCTGCCTGCATTTAGGTAGAAGCTGATAATCTTTAGTCTTGCACCTCTCACCCCCCCCGACCCCCAATACCCCTGATGTCATGGAATCAGCCGTGAACTGATCGGGCAAAAGATAAAAATTTGGCCATGAGTTCATTTTTATTCAGAATCATAACATGTTTTAACAGGATAACATAGTAACGACAGGTAGGCAGGTAGGTCATACCCACGCGTGGAGCTCTTGGGATTCAACATAGTGTCAATTAGTGTGCTCATCAAAAATACTTTGTGGTATGTTTACCCAAAGAAATGTAGAAGAAACTGGTTCAGGAGTTGGAAGAAGCTGACGGGAGAATAAAGTGCTCGGACTCTGTTTGTCTGCTAACAAATAACTCCATCCTCTGTTTTCACAACATTTCACAGTTTTGAGGGTAGCTTTGGAGAAACAAAGACAAACTTTGTTGTGTTTTTGCAGCAGCTTTGCCTCAATGACACAAGTTTTTAAGGTCTTACAGACATTTATAGGGCAGATTTAGTCTCAATGCTCTAAGGATGCTCCCAGGAAGAGAAATAAGGAAATTTTTGCCAATTGTGTCCTTTTCAAATCTTAATTTCTAACTGAAGTTAAGATCAGAATCTCTGTCAAATCTGCTTATCTGATGGACAATTTTGAAGTGTCAGCATGGACTTTTTGTCTTTATAGAGTACTTCAACTAGATTTAAAGGAACATCTCAGTAAATTAGTTTTTAAAAAATGTAAGTTTCTGCTTGACTTTATCTGCATAAGGAAAATGTCATACATTACTAACATTTTTATTATCATTTTTTCCACCATTATCTTCATTCAAAATATTTGTATTTACTTTTAATTAGGGTATAAAGGTTTATGGGCCTAAAAGCTGGACGTCTTCCCACTGATTTAACTTCTTCTGTACAGCCAGTTTCATTATGCCTTTAGGTTGGTATCTAATCCAGTAGACTCACCACTGTCACCAGGAAAGCATTTGTCCACCATGGCCATGTACGCCTCCTCCGTGGTCAGGACAGTGCCCCCTGTGGGCAGCAGCTTGTGTCGAGGTGGAACCCCTTTAATAAAAGTCTGAAAGCAGAAGAAGAAGAAAGTGACCATGGATCCCGCTGCTGCTGGTCAGCACATAAGATGGGGGTCTGTTGCTCACCTCCAGGCTGTCGTGGCACTCCAGGCAGTAGTTGGCTCTCACCACCACGTACCTCTCCCTCCACTTCCTGGTGTCGTCGAAATAAAAAACAGCCTCCTCGTACAGCAGCTCACCCTCCTCTGGAGTGGCCTGGTGAGCACAGACGAACTCTTTAAATGACTCTGATCAGAAGAAGCAAGCGTTCACATATAAACACTAAGATGTGCAAATCTGAGCTGGAAGTGACAGCCTGCATTTCTCCAGAAACCTTTGCAAAATTTAAAGGAATTAAATCTATGTTGCAATGAGTACAATCTGAAACCTTTTGGAGGTGATTTAATAACCAGAATGTATTGAATATAACTGATCATGAGCACCAGGTTCCACAAAGATGAAATTAGGGGAATTGTTTTCACACTGCTTTCCAAATCCTCTTCAGGCTTTAAGGGTCAAGCATGGTGCATCATATTTAATTATTTATAATTACTTTGGTTTCAAAGGATAAGTGCACCTAATGGAGGTAACCTGTTCGTCATGTATTGATGTTTTTCTTTCTCCTCATCATTACTGCTCTCTTAAGTGAAAAGGAAGCCAATCGATGCTTTAACAAGACAAATTACAGTCATTTTCCCAGTTCTCTGTCCTCCGAGTTTACCTTCTGTTTGAGCAGCTGAGTGATTTTCTCCTTGTTATGCTCCAGGTCATCCTCAACCTGAGCAAAGTGGGCCACAGAGAACTGCTTCCTGTAGTACGGACTAAACTCCTTCAACTTGTTCTCGGCCTCGCCTGCAGAGAGACAGACAAAAGCCAGAGTTAACAGAGCTTTGAGCATGGAAAGGATGCATTTCAGCAGGAACCAGGCCGATAGATGAACCAGGGAACACTCCTGTTTTCGGGAAGTTTAAAGAGTAGAGGATGTTGGAAAAAAGAATACCTGGTGATACCTATAAGTCAATTATGATCACCTGAAAAAGTCAGACATCTTTCAGGTTTAAAGATTTAACATATCGGGGCAGAATCAGGTCTACAAACAAGTTGAAACCATCTCAGAGCAACTGCAGCAGAATATGTGAGAAAGAGACAATCAGACCTCAACCTGCTGCCGTTCAGACCAAAGAGTTTTCGTTCCAGAGATAAAGACACACTGTGATACATCATGTTTTAACACCTGGTGAGGACCAGAGGTTCATCTGTCCTGTTGCATCAAACCGTGAAGCAGTGAGTCTAGTCAGTTCCAGCCTTCCAGTCACTTCTCGGCTTAGTCCTTTAACACCCTCTCATTCGTGTCCCAAACGCTTTCAATTTATGTTCTGAAACGCATCCATTCAGCCCACAGCTCAAGGTTCTTTGGACAAAAGGAGGAGAAACTGTGTAACACAGAGCTTTGCTTTGTCCTCCTCAGCAGAGCAGAGTGGCAGAAAAATCTCCCTTTAGACCCTCAGTTATCCACTTCGCTCTGAGGGAGCAGTACTATTTTTCATTTGAGTCATAATTTGAACAGCAATAACTCTTAAATCTTAACTGAGAGACATCTGACAGCAGATAAAGAGGCTCTGACCATCATTAGAACCATCAGCTAAATACCTGATAATTCAGAGGTGTCTGCATCCTGCCTCTGCCTTAATGACCATAATAACTCAGAAAAAACTCACTTTGCTTTGCTTTTTTTTTGTGAAAACACATTTCTGAAAGGTGTTTCTGAGCTGGTTTGGATGTGATGTTGCTGATAGACTCCAACCATGCCTACCGGGGCCGTTTGGAGCTTTAAAAAGCCCAAGAATTGCCTGATTTTAATAACCAGAAATAGCATAGCAGGAACAAAAGGAGGAAGTTTAAAACATTGTTCTCCCACAGCATCATGGGAAATATCAGATCAGAAGCAGATAAAATGGAAAAGCTGAACAGTTTACATTTAATGTTTGAAAACGCTGAATGAAAAAATCTCTCATTCTGCCTCTTCTAAGTTGCCTGACTTCATCTCCCTGTGTTTTATGGTTTCCTTAGCTGTGTTTTCTATGGTGTTCATTGTTTTACGGGCTGGGCTTTACATTTTACAACCCTTTGAGTAAAAGGCTGCTTTTAGACCCATTTTTTGCACAAAAACACCAGATTGGGACGCTTTTTACTGTAAGTGGGTCACAGAGGCGTTCGCCTGGCCTTATGAGTCATCCCTACAGTATCAGTCCCAGACTTTGTGATGGCTCCGTGGAGAAGCAGCAGCTGGATCACTTTCTGCTCCGTCTCTTGTGGTCTGTCAGCCTACGGCTGCTGGCAGGACTTCCATATGACTTCAGAGGGGAAAGAAAACCTCTCCGATTTCTCTCCCCATGCCTGCGAGTTCGGGTTATTTAGAAGAAAAAGGAAAACAGAAAAAGTTCACCGGAGGATATGTTCCCATTTTTGCTCTGTGTCATCTCTCTGCAAACTTCATCAGAGAGGAGGGACTCAGAAGTTTTAAAGGCCCCTCATCCATAAACTGTTAGAGGTAATTCCTAATAGATCAATGGACCAGATGATGCTACTTTTTCACCTCTTAGTGCATCACAGAGGATTTAGGCCAGGGGTGTCCAACCCGGGTCCTTGAGGGGCGCTGTCCTGCAGCGCCCCACCTGATTCTGATTAGGTGGATCAGTTCAACGGCTCTGCACAAGCCTGATGATCTCATGCTGGCGCTAATCAGGTGTGTTGAAGCAGGGAAACCTCTGAAACTTGCAGGACAGCGGCCCTCGAGGACCGACTTTGGAAACTCCTGAATTGGGCCGCACTCATGTCCTTCTCACACTTTTCCTGTTTTGAAAGCAGGACAACAGTTCAAGTCCCGTGTTTTCTTACTAAAAGTCAAACCAAAAGGAAACAAAGCCTTCTGAAACAGCAGCAAACGGCTCATGATTGCAGCGTACAGCTGATATCATGTCAGCTGCTTCACTCCTCTTCTGGAGCCTGCTCTCCTCCGTGTCTTCTCTGGAAGACCCAGTTTCAGGACACCCACCTTTGTCTCATTCCTGTGAACAGTGAGAAATCCACAGACCGAGCTCTGGAGTTGCTCCAGTCGGAGCATTAAGCAGGAGGAGAAAGACTAGAAAAATATTCGTTTTTATGGGTTCAGTCAATCAAAAACTTAAATGTCTCTAACATGACATCTAACACGAATCAAAACCAAATATTAAAAGCCTTCCTGGGTGCTCATATCATCTTAGCGCCTGTTTAAAGGACTTCTGGTGTTTTTCATCTCCAGATGAGGCTGTTTTCAGCACAGCAGCTGCTCTTTAAGGCCCTCAGGAGACCTCCTTGTTTTTTCCTCATTCTTAAACAATCTACAGTAGTGTGTAAAGGTTCATCCAGCCTGTCGTCTCCTCCCTGACCCCATAAAGCCCTTTTTGCTGCTGAGGAGCCAATCTGGGTGGACATCCGTCGTTTCCCGACCAGAAACACTCTCCTCCAGGTTAATCGTGATGTTGGTCTGTCCGGGCCTCTGACTTTTTAACATCCATCCATCCATTATCGTAACTACTTATTTCCTTATGTGGTTGAGGGACGTTTATCATTCAATACTAATTTCTGTCCGTTTTTTTTAGCTGGGAACAGGCTTTAGCAGAGGAGATCTCAGGTTATTGTACTGGACATTGTGTGTGAGTCTGTCCCTATTTAATCTGGACAAACATCCACAATGCCTCCATCATGTTTCGGAGAAACGGTTTTGCTCCGGGGAAACCGGAAAGAGACTCCCGTCCCGCTTCCACACAACCACATGGAGTCTGGCTGCAGGTCAGCCTTCTTCCAGCCAATGAGAGCAGGCTTCATCTTCCAGATGCTGGATGAGCTCTGCGTCCCACAGGGCGCTCAGGAAAAGGCATTTATCCGTCAGGCTCGGTTTGTGCCCTCCATCTGTCTGCAGACACACTGTCTCTGTTACAGCGCTCGTTTTTCAACACAGTTTGAGTTCAGCTCGGTTCAGGAGGCTCGCAGGAGAGCGTACGAGGGCTCTGCTGAGGTTTATGCAAAACATCTGCAGCCAGGATTTGTTTAACATATCCAGACACAGACGGGAGAGGAGTTGTGTTCAGGGGCCGCTTGTTTTTAGTGACTGTGAGGTTTCTCCTGACACATTTTCATCTTAAATCATTCAAATGATCTGATTAAAACTGATTCATCAGAGCAGCTTCCACTCAAACCCTCCCCCCACCAACTAATTTTCTTCAGTTAATAAGAAAATTAACTAAATAATCCAGAATTAGGACTTGTTTGCTGTCTGCTTCTCACCGCTTTGTTTCTGGCATCAATCAAAACTGAATGTGAAGAGACTCAAACAAAGACAGAAAGCAGAATAATTCCATTAAGGATGAAAATGAACCACAGCAAACAGCTGTCATCTGGAAAACACAAAGCCAGCGTTCCTCAGCTTTATGGGACACAAAAATCTGTTTGTATTCCCCTGCTGTTTCAGATTGTCTGGATTAGTTTTAGAATTCTAATTGATTGTTTCATATATCTAAAGATGTCAGACTTTTTACGACAAAGTAACATCTAAATGTTTATCAGATGGCTTTAAAATCTAACTAGTAACGCATGTTTAAGGGCATTTTTGACAGTATTTAGAACTAAATATAAGGTTTATGATATGCACTTATGTGCACACTGATGTTTCCCTCACCAACATATGAGAATGTAAATCAGTACCAGATGACTAAAAATCAGGTGAAATCAGGACAAAGATATTTTGATATCTTTACTTTTATATTGATATATGGAAAATAATCATGATCCTACATGCCTTTATGAGCTTTTTATCAGCTTTTCTAAAAAAATTAGTAGCTAATATTTTTAAAACAAGAATTTCTTCTTCTTATACTTCTTATTCTCATACAATGACTAAAAATTTACTTTTCTGTTGTCTCTGTCTGCATGTCTTCCATAAAACAGCTTGTTTTAACAAAATGAGTTTAATAGTATTCATTAATTTGTGCTAATGTATTAGCAGGAGAAAATACTGTTTGTTTGGGTGAAATATTCACGTGAAGGTGTGAAAATGTGTGTTTGACCGGTTATAAATGTGTCATATATACATTTATTGGTGCAAGTATAATGTGTCAGGCAGAGCATATGTAAATATCTGATGTAATGAGTGCGTTTTCCACACTAACTCAAAACTGTGAACACACACAAACTGAATAAATAAAAATTCTTATTTCAGGTAAGACTTTTCTTTCTGTTTCTTTTTTTGCAGCTGAACTCTGCAAAGTAGGGACACAAACATCAAAGTCCAATTGAAATCCTGGATTAACTGTAGAAAAGCTGAAGCATGGAAATCCAGCTTCCATTCAGGGCTTTTATCCCACCGTGGTGCGTTTCTGTGTCTCTGTCCAGCAGATTTTAGCATTGTGGTGTCAGAAAGACTTCCTGACCCCTGAGGACCTCTGGCATTTTCCATCCGGGCCCTCTGAGTGACCTTAGCTGGTCTAGGAGCAGGCTACGTGCATCGACCTGCAACGAGCCCTCTCAGAGTGGACCTGCAGACAGCCATGAGCAATTTTAAGCAGCATGACGCCAGCTGTAGCTGCAAGGCTTTAACCCATTTAGGCCAGAGCCAGCACACAGACATTTGTCCCAGAGCAATCAGTTCAACAGCAGATCAATAACCTCCTGTAGAATAGCAATGTTTGAGCTCTAAAAGGGTGCGAGATTATATGTTACTGACAGTTTCAGAGGAAAAAGAAAAACTCAAGAGAGCTGAATAAACAGTTTTTTTACGGCTTTCGAAGTCTAAAAGCTGTGCTATTTCCAAATTA